AATTCATGGTGGTTCTGCTGAAGGGGGAACTGGATTTAGTTGGCGGTGGGTTTGGCTAGCTAGGGAGCCTCGACCTTTTAAGCTATGGGTTTTGGCTGTTTGGTAAAGAAATTAGTATGTAAAGTAATAATTCGGTCACACTAGCAATAGAGTGCTACTACTCCAATAGCTAAGCTTTCTATTTCCACACTTACGTTTCCTAGATCTGCGCTCAATAATCAGCCATTTAATACAAAAAAGATCAGACTTTTTATATTTCTTCTTTTTCTTGGCACTGAGAATACGGCTGGTATTTCAAGCCTGGATATTGTCTGGGGCCATGAAATAAGTCCATTATTACTTTTTTTCTTATAAACATATGTCTAGCCAATTTTTTGAACGAACCTAACCAGAAGCCCATCAAATGGGATGGGCTCCTGACCTAACAAAATTTTCCGAGTCATTTCAGTGAAAAAAAGGTCCAAAAGGCAGGCTTTTTGCGCCCGATAACAGCGATAAGCTGGAAACCCCCGCACACAAGCAAGGAAAAGGAAAGAAGGAAAAGAAAGAGCGAGAAGGACGAAAGCAGGAGAACAGAAAAATAGCAATGGCTGGATTCACTTTTAGTTCTTATCAAGAGACTATAAAGGGGACAGAGAGGACATCGCCCATACACACCCTATTCCATAGGTAATTCGTCTCGAGTTATTTTTAGAATCGGGATAAAGTTACCTCGCGCGAGGCGTGGATGTTTCGTGGAGGTTTCGCATGACCAAACGCCGTGCAAAACATGTCGGGCGAGAGGCAATGAAAGCGTAAAAAGATCGAGAGCATTCCTGAATATTGAAGCGAAATGAGTCGGCGCTCACCTGGGAAAAAGGAATCGCTGGACTCTTTGACAACCCGTGAAATCAGTTTAACTCGAAGTTGTCGTAACCTCAGTGCTTTAATAAAATGAGAAATTTCGCCGGTCTATTGAAACCGGTCGTTTGTACAATTTAGGGAGTTTAAGATCCAACGACGCGGACGACAACTAGAACGTCAAAAAAACAATAGGTTTAATTAGCAAAACAACAACTTCGCACGTGCAACACACTTTTTTGTTCATTTCTTTCCCGTTTTTGCACGACTACGACGTGAAAATGCCTAATTTCGCGTTTTATGGAGGACGTAAATAAGCAACGACGAAATTTTATTTCTCTTTCTGAGCTTGAATATGGTCCCTTGAAATTCAGCTTTAGGAGGGTTCGCCTACAATTGACAAAGTAAGTGGGTAGGAATAATCGCTATAAAGACTGAAAAAAATAAACATCAAACCAGAAATTGCTCTCTTCAAACTGTAAATTATAAATGATCCTGAGAGAATATTCAGTGTGTTAAGGATTTCCCTGCTCTACTGTTAGCTCTATACAAGAGAGGAAGGGTGATTCTTTTTTAATTTCGGTTTCGCTGACACAGCTTTCGCAGAAATCTCGCTGTAGTCGTTTTCGTCGACAAAAGGAATAGCAAAATCGCTCTCCGCGTCTTCCCTCATTTTGTTCTGCGTCATGTCGTGAAGGACGCGTGGCTCTCAGCGTTGGTCATCCACGCGAAACACATTCTCGCTATGTGATTGGCTGTTGTCTAATCCCCCTTGAGATCTGTGGTGTTAAAAATAACTCGAGACGAATTACCTATGGAATAGGGTGTATATGGGGGATGCCCTCTCTGTCCCCTTTATAGTCTCTTGTTCTTATATGATGGTTACTCGTATTTGGAGAAAGTTTTTGGCCGAAAAAAAATATAATTGTTTGAAGGAAGAGGTCTATTTGGCGGTGACGTTTTCAAAAATCCGGGTAGATGCATATTTTTTCGTTTGTTTTGCATATTGGTCTGTTTCCAAAGGCAGTGCACTTGCTACGAAACAGCTGGAGGCGAACTCAGTTTTCATGCTGATCCAGGACTCAAAACTTATCTTCAATCTTCTGTCACGCAGGCTATGATAAAGCGCTTGCTGCAACAAATTTAAAGTTTGTGGTTTCGGTAGTGGCACAAGATGTGTGGAAGAATAAATATTTGAATATGACTCCTTTTCATTGCAACTATAACCCAGGAAGCGGACATGGAACTAGTACTGATACTACCTTGCTAATATGCAAGATGAAAAAAAAGCATTTGGAGCATTTATAATTGTTGGCTTGTGCACTAAGGCAAAAAATAGCCACATTACATCCATTTACATCCTGCAAACGAACTCCTGTCAGGGAACTGACTTGCTATTATAAATGTAGCTTTTCTCAAATCGTTTCTGATCGAATATAAAAGTACTATCAAGCGTTATAACGACAGACACTGTACAACTTGCTTAAGCCACTTGCTCAGGTTTAAAAAAATACCGTGATGAAGTCCTTGTGGGTTATGAATAATAAAAATGCTGTTTTGCGTTTGTTTCTAGCATTATATTCAATTTGTTCAGTTTTAACACTACAACGATGCAAATATCACATGCAGCCTTATAATATCCGACTGCTTCTTTTGAAAACTATCTACTGTAAAATGGTTAATTTAAGTATTTATGAGGCAAAACTTGCTTCCATGCTTGTTGTACCGGGAGCATGCACGTGTGGGGGAATTGAACCCTTGCGTGCGATATGAACAATTTTAAAACTGACTTTCAATTTCCATCCGTTTGAAAATGTATTTCCTTTCTAAACACCTGACAGCATATGCTGATAAATTGTAATAGTTAACGAGATCTTTTTCCCCGGAGGCAATTCATTATCCTCCACAAGAGGTCTTAATCTACAGGGGGCAAAATAGGTAACTGCTCATAACAGAATTCGCAGCGACCATACGGTAATTGCCTAAGTTTTATTTAATACGTAAAAGTTAGGATGCCTGCTTCTTCCTGATGCCATAAAACGTAGATCGAATGTAAGGATAAGTTTTTTTGTTTGACTAGTTTAAACACTTCTGTTTGTTTAACAAATTGTACATCAGTGGTTGTAAACGAACTCATTTCCCTAATAGCTTGTGTTTTGTGCGTTTTTAAAATTCACATCATGCGTTTTCCTCTTAACCAGGTGCTTCGCCGCTTCTCGAGTCAACAGTGAAAAACTGGCCGCCGCGAGAATATTTTCTTAATTCAAAATGGTGTGTACCGAACGAGTAATTTTGCCAAAGAACAGGTGAAAGTCGACTTTTCAAAACTCAGAGAGACAATAAAAAGTTGTCATAGTTTCCACCCGGCTCTTTAATCATTGAAACTGCCTACATTAAAAAAACCATTAACATTATTAGGTCTGCAATAAGATACCTTTGATATTAACCACTAAGTGGAAGTTTAGGTGATCTAAATTCTTATCTGTATAATTAATTGAATACATTAGAAACACGCAACTTGAAGGAAAAAACGTAAAAAAAAGGAGGCAGCTTGACAATAAAAATTAAACTTTGTTGATTATTTTTTCTTTATACAACACGATTTTTATCCCCGTAGCCAATGTTTAATCGACGTTGTTCGTTTTGCTACGTGACATATCTGAATTACATTGCTACTGAACATATAAATATACGGAGCTATCTGCAATAGCTTCTTCACTTCATTCTCAAGACATAAATAAATATGAAGCAAGAAGAGCTAACACCTTTTTCAGCAGTCAAAAGTGAAAGGCTGAAATCTTATCAAAGGATTTTTTGAAAACGGTGATCGCTACTATAAATATCTCTGACCAGTGCAACTAAAAGTAATTGAGACTGACGATTTACCATACTGATTTATAACTAACTATCAGACCAGAAAATATTTAAGAACTGATAATCTTTCACTCCAAGAAAGTAAGTAGTAATATCATCCCACTTTTCCAAGGTCAATATTCTACTCGGTCTCTGTGTTAATAATAATTGTGGCAAATACATTTTCCCTTAGCAACCTGAATGCAAATGTTTACCCTTGCATTATATGGCGGCACAATTTCGACTTTGATAATTATTCTTGTATTGACGTCTTTCAAGTCGTTGTAGTGTCTTTGCAGTCCACTATAACAATTTAAAAACAAGGTCTAGATGCGAGAAGATAATCTAGGGAATAACTCGACGTATGGCATGGTGTATTAACCACGGAGCAAAAGCCCGAAGTCATTAGAGTAAAAAACGGAAAGTCATAACTCTAAAAGGCTAAAAAGAGGACAGAATTTGTTACCCATGGAAAGGGAGCAAAGGAAACAAGTGGAAGAAAGCGGCTTATCGGCTAATGTTTAGATGACATAATACTTTATACAAGCAATCACTTACATAAGGCAGTGCTCAAAACATAGATGGAGGAGGCCGGTGAGCTGCAAACGACAAGCCGCACACTTTGCATGATCCTCTCTATCGTCACCATCTCAGATCCTCTCCCTCTCTCCTCCTGGAGAATAGAGCTATCAAGACTTCTCTCTGACTAAAACTTCTCCTGGATTTCCTCCAAGCTCTAAATCACAGGCGCGTTCTTTGTTTCTCGACTTTTCGGCGTCTCCAATTTATTCGTGGCTTGGTGCCATTTTTCCAGCCACATGGAGGTAAAATTCGAAACAAAGTTTGACCTACTGAGATGTACACACTCACTTTCCCGCGCAAAGGCGCCAGCTGCGTGTATTTGTCTTGATTTCTGACTGGCTCAGTGGATTATCTCTCTTCCGATTGGCTAGAATGGCAACCTTGGATTTTAGCTTAACGACACTCATTTGCGCTAGATAAGTGTTTTGTCTGATTGCTTGCACGCAAAGAAACATGTCAGTGATTATCAGCGCTTGATGTCCCAAAAAGAAAATAAGAAAAGCCCAATTTACTGTTAAGTACAGAAGGAAGCTCGATAGCTCAATCTCCAGGGGAAGTGAAATTAGTTCGAGCTAGTAGGTAATTATTTCGCAGCTGCTTTTGAATTTTAAGTGTCGCATTAATTAGTAATAATGCATCCAAGTTTTAATTTAGTATTTCTTGCTACTCGCGAATCATTCTGTCACACTAAGAACTTACAAAATTTTGAACTAATTGTTTTCTCGGTTAAACTAGGTCCGCCTGTACACTACTTACATTCCCTATCCCCTTAATCCTACAAAATCACGGAATGTCTTTAAAATTGGCGAACCTATAATGAACAATGTACTTCCGGGATTCACACTTTTAAGCTTATCAGCTGCAATGTGACGCTTAATTTGTGCGGGTTCTAATTTTCGCGGATTTTTTTACGATCCACACTAAACAAGCTAATGTAAACAAAAACTATCGCAAAAATTATTTCCACGCTCTACTGTAGTATTAATAAAAAAGGGTTTCTGGCAATTCCCCATCTACATCACTATGGTAATTGAGTTGCATAATTAAACGGTTTTGACCAATCGCAAATTTTGTGTTGAAGTTTCCTTCATGACTAAGGGTGTTAACCTAATATTTTTCAAGGCACCTTCTTCACCCTGCTATGGCGGCTTTCCTGCGTTTGTCGACTCAAATTTGAAGATTCTGAACTGAACACAGAATAAGAAGATTCTGCAGGTGAATAACCTGAGAAAACAGCCGACATTCCGTGACGCCACCACCGGTCCCCCCTACGAAATGACGTCTGAGAAACGAGGGCAGAAATTCCAAACTGACGACGCGTCACTATCCAGATCTGGGTAGTGCTTCTTACTGGTAGAAGCAGGTTTCCCACGCCGCATGACCAATCAGAAGCACTACCCAGATCTGGGTAGTGTCGCGTCGTCAATTCGCGGGAAACCAGAGGTGGCGTCGCGGAATGTCGGCTGTTTCCTCAGGTTGGCAGGTGAAGTGCTCTTCTGTTTTCTTGCAATCGACGGTGATTTGAATGCCAAGGCGATGAAGACGTTTGTACAACTCCGAAAAGTAGGCAATGTTGCCCTTTGTCCTCTAACATTTCGTCAATGAGACTTCTTCAGTTTGGGAGCGATAAAACTCCTCATGAAGGCCGAAAGGGATGGTGGGATTCCTGTACTCGTACGGCTTTTGGAACTGAGCGTCGTGTTGGCAAACGACACCTGTTTTGATAAGACCAAACATTGGTTAACTTTCATTATAAAAAAATTAAAACGTTGGTCACTTCATGAGCTTTAGGGGCTGTTTACGTGGAGGTAGGAAGATTCTTGAAGGTGGATCATCCTAGCGCCATGCGTTTTCTGTATTCAGTTTACATTAAAAAAGTTGTACTTGTCCCTAGCGCTAGGATCTTCCTACTGTAGCTGAGAGGTAGGAAGATCCTAGCACTACGTAAACTGCTTTCGCAAGGAAGATCCGATTACTAGGGCCAACCACACAAAAATGGCGGCCGGTCGTTCAGTGGGTAATCTTTATTCTTTAATTTCTTCTCTACTGGTAACCGCACGGACTGAAACTTCTGCATGTAAATCCAACGAAACGTTGTTCCGCCTTCTAGGATCTTCCTTCCTCAATGTAAAAAGCCCCTTACTTAAGCTCGTTTCCGTAATAAGTAGTCCTTGGTTAGACTATACTACATCAATTATTATCTGAAGACGTTTTGGACAACTTATCAGGGCTACCTCTTCTCATGAGGACCTCTTAAGTATACCCGAGTCCTTCTTCTGCAACGACACAAAACGAATACCGTAAACTGTCGCTTATAGGCCCTGGGCTTAAAAATCTTCGTAAGGGGTTTTGGGATGATGGCTTATAAACGGAGAGGCTTATATCCAAGGGGGCTAATAAGCGAAATAGGAAAAGCGCTTCAAACCAAGCTATAGAAGTGCTGAACAAATAGGGCCTGGAAGGGGGGCTCTGATCCCGTGTTTCCCGCTCCTTTTTCACCAGAATCCCGCATCCCGAACTTCTGTCATCGCTGTCCCGAATATATTTTTCTTTCCCAATCCCGCATCCTTCTGCCCAAACTTTGGCGAATCCTGCTTCACAAGTAGCAGTCAAATCCCGTATCCCGCACCGTATTTTGGTCAAATCCCGAGAATACCCTTCCAGACCCAGAACAAATACGTTTTGCATTTACTGCTTTTAAATCTTAAGGGTCAAAACGTCATAATAAATCGAATTCGTTTCAATGCATTTGGAGGGGGCTTATAATGGGATGTACTTTTTTGTTTACAAGTAGGTGGGCCTATAACCCGGGGGTTTATAAGTGGGGGATGGGCAGTCTACTGTGCCTTGTTTAACGTTAGGTCCAACTAAAACACAACTGTATAAACTGTACCGGTGCAATTTAGATCTTATCACTTACCTGCACCTTGGCGTTAGGAACCATGAGTGAATTTTCACGGGAATTGAATAAGGTCTTGCGCTTTTTGGTGTTGTCTAACATGGAGCACATTTCAGTGCTGGTCGTGGCATCTGAGCGGCAGGACTGTTGGTCAGCTGGGGGTAACACCTCGCTCATGCTTGAAGTAGGTTTTCTAAGAATCAAAGGAACAAACCAAGGTTGTTTACAGTTGTTTTCAAGTTTACAACTGTTAATAAAGAGGATAGTTTCCAAATATCTAATAAGAAATATTGACAAGTAAAAATATAATCGTTGTTACAACTGAAAAAAAGGAAAATTATCGGTTTGATAAGCCCTCCAAAAACGCGAAAAAATATTAAGTTAAGAATCTTCCAGTGAAAATAATACGAAAAACAATTTTACAATCTCATTGAAAAAAGCATTTGGGGACTTCTGGGGTATTTCTAAAATCAAAATTCGTTGTTATCTCTGTTCATTTGTCTATACTATCCCGCTTAATTTCTCCTCAAAGAGCCGAGGCATTTTCATTAACTTACAAAATGTCAAGAAGCAAATGTTCCCGTTAGGCATCGAGGAATTCTGTTTTGGAATGGCTAAAACATTCCTTCCATTCCATTGTAACACAAAATACAAACAAAACTGAGCCATGTCGTCCTTAGTTGTTTTTCACAGTAGTGTTTGTCTCGGAATGTAATTGAACAACTTAGGTAGGCATTTTTATTCTTGCTAATCAGTTGTTTTTCCGCCATACTGGCGTCCACTCGGTAGGTAGTAACAGCCGACAGGTGGAGAAATTGTACTGCAATGGACCTACCACATATTTTCTAATAAAAGAGCCACAGCGCGATTAACCTCAGTACACATGTTTTCAAGCGTTTGAATATATTCTAAACTTAGAGTCTGGACAAAGTCCAAAAAGGGCCACTATTTAATGAAAAGCCACTGATGGTTAAGGTGCCGTTTTTACTGATGTACAAAGTGGTTTAGTAACGTTTTCGCCTTAGGGCCAAATTCTATGGCGTGACCACTTAGAATGAGAGCTATAGAGTCATGTATAACATGGTGCACAGCCTGTGTTTAGTGAATATTATTTTGCATATGGGAATGTCAGATTTAGAACATTTTTCTTAACCTCAGTTAATTACGGCAATCAACGCAAAAAAAAAAAAAAACATTGAAACTTTTTTCAACGCGAATTTTCCCCAAATTTAAACACTGAATACCCGCATAAAACGTACGTCTTTCCTACCTCTTCTTTCCCCTTGTTTCATCATTCGGCGCTTTTTCCTTTAAGACTGTTTTTGTTTTTCCGCAGGGATGTTTAGAACCTTTTCTTTTCGACTGAAAGGTGTCTGGAAAAATAGCAGATTTAACTATCTCTCTGGTGGAACTTTCATTACTATCTTTATTGACCACATCCGTATCTTTTTCCTTTGAAACATTAGCATTGTCATGTTCTGAATTCTTCCCTGTCTGTCTGGTATCCTCGCATTTTGTCGAGCAAAGGTCAATGTTCTGGTTTTCCTTTTCCTTCTCCTCTGCGTTTATTTGGTTTTTTCCATTGATGGGAGACTTTCTTGATTTCTTTTTTCCCAATTCCTTGTGGAAATAATCTCGCTTGGTCTTTTTTCCAGCTTCCTTTACCCGATTATCCCTTTCATCCGAGCCCCCCTGGGCCGAGTTATAATCCATAAGAAGTTCGCCCTCGGCGACTTTGTTGTTTTCGTCATTCAGCCCTCCCTGTATTTCCGTTTCCGGTTGCTGAGATGTATCGCAAGACGTGACCGGGTTTTCGTCAACAGGGGGATCGATTTCATGCGATGACATATGCGACATAACGGGTTCATGACCTTTCAAACATCTTTCATCGATTTTGTCATTCTTTTTCGTCGCTATCGTGCCCTTATCATCTGGTTCTTGTCTGGTTTGGGTGCCAAGTGTTTTGCTATCTTCGACTTGACCTTTAATAGACAGATCTAATCCCACATCACAATTTCGTTTCTGCGCGGTTCGTTTTCTTAGAGCTCTTCCACCTTTACCGTGTGTTTTTTCATATTCGCCCTTCTCTTCGTGTGGGATTGTATCCTCACAATCTTTCTCTTTGGCAGACTTTACCTTTTTGGTTTCCTTTCTCTTTTTATTTCCCCCCTTTTCTTTCACTTTTCTCGCTTTTTTATTCTTATTTTGAACCTTGTTTGAGTCTTGGTTTTCTTCAATCTCGAACGCGTTCTTTCTCCTTGGACCGGTCGGTTTTCCTTCTAATGGTTTCTGGCGATAAGTCAAACCAAGGGAACATTCCTCGTCTTTCTCCAAAGCAGGGCGGGATGATTCTTCAGTCAATTCTTTGTCGTCATCTGTATTTTCTTTATGACCGACTTCTTCCACTTCGGCTCCGTTTTCATTAACTTTTAACCCTCGTTTGGGTCCAACGTCTTCAATGCAAACTGTCAGTTGAGAAAGCTTCCCAGAGCCGCACTCGCTTGATTTTTCTGAAACGCTGGTTTCTGTCGCTAATCCCGCTATTTCCTCACCTGAATATGCAACGACCTCCTTATCCATTCTCTTCTCCCAACTCTGGCTGCTTTCATCTGATTTTTTGCGCAATCTGCCTGGAGTCTTGCTGTACTCTAAAGGCGGGATGTCTTCCTCTCGTGAAGTACTCGATAACAACCATGCACTGCCAGCCTTTGCTCGTTTACGCACATCCTTATCATTATCTTCCACCATAGCGTTGATTGAATCCGTTCCTGACTCCATTTTCAAGGGCTTTCTTTTTCGCGAGACTTTCGGGTTTTCTTCATCTTTTTTCTTAGCTATTACCTCGTTTGCCGCATCTTCGCCCATATTCGTCTTCTTTTCATTTCTTTTGGTTTTTCTACCTTTATTTTTCTCTGGTTGAGCATTTTTCACATCCCGTTTATCGTTTGTTCTTTCTTCGGGTTCTGGCACTCTCTTTCTTCGCCTAACAGATTCATCCATTCCCTTTCTAATCTCACCCCTATTTCGCACTTTGTCTGTCTCTTGGAGATCTATGTAGATTTTTCGGACACCTTCGCCATTCTCTGGGGTATATTCGTCAGTCTTTCGGACACATTCGTCAATCATGTAAACATGTTCGTCATTCGTTCGGGCATCGTCGGCGATTCTGTGCACATTATCGTCAGGTTTTCGCACATCCCCAATCGTTTCTAGGGCCTGCACTCCAACATCGCAAGTTTGAAGATCAACTTGAGCCATAGTTGAGGCATCTTCCATGGTTACCCGCGTTTGGATAGCCTTGCTCTAATTTTGACGGAAAAAAAAACATGAAATTGCTCAGCGTTCATAAACTCAACAATATATTGAGCAAAAATCTTAAACCGTGTGATCAATTGTCGATTGCTCAAATACTCGAACCTTTACCGCTTTGTTCTTCCTGCCCAGTTCCGTTCTGAGATCCTCCACTTCTTTGAATGTCTGCAGGTGCTTCTCCTATGAAAGGAACAGAAAAAAAAACATTTTAATTCAAAAGTGGAAGAGAACTATATTGAACTATGTCGTCAGGGGGAGCACTGTTACCCACGAATGTTGACCGCACGCTGAGATTCTATACTTCCAATGAAAATTTGACAAAGGTAGAAAAGCAATCACTCAATGACTGAACGACTGGTTATTTGGGAAACTGGTTAATTTTGTTTCCCCCGAATCTAGCCTGCGAGCAGGTTTACTTGAGCAAGTTCAGGGAAAATTTTCCACGAACTAGCAAGAATGAACCTGCTTGCATGCTACCTCGAATCGGCGGAGATTCTGGGGCAACAAATTTGCTGTTCCCCTCAAGACCCTAAAAAAGTTTTATTACTATAATTATAATCATTAATAATAATAATAATAATAATAATAATAATAATAATAATAAATAATAATAATAATAATAATAATAATAATAATACAGGAAAACCCTGTCACTGTAATAAGCACTGATGTCCTAATATCAAAGGGGATCTTGTTATTAAAATACATAAGGTAAAAAACTAAGACAATTATGCAGGGCCGATATACAAAAAAAAATCAACAAATAAAATGAACAACTAATTAAGGAAAAGGTATTTTATCTTTAGTTTCCCTTGAAAAAATCAAAGAAGCATTCCTTTGATTTGATATGGCAAAGAAGACCATTAAGTTCCATCACACCGCAATAAAAAACAAAAAGATCTCTTGGCGACCTCTAAGTTGACTTTCTGATTGTGAATGTCATCACATCGTCTAGTCATAACTGTGTACAGAGGAATTATTTTTACGAATTATTTTATTGTTTCTTATCATACTCCTCGCCAGTAAGCACTCATGAAAAGATGTTGGCATTATGTACCTGCCAGCTCTTGATTTCTTTTTGAAGTAAATTCTCTCTTTGGATTGCACTTTCTCTTTGTTTCTCTATTTTCATTTCCATTTTGGAGTTCATCCTGTCCTCCAGTTTCTTTCTCTCCAAATCTTGATGAACTTTTTCATCCTATTGGGAATCACAATAAGACTAAGTCCCCTGTTGGGTTTCAGTAATCTGGGATGATCAGTGGATTTTTGCAACGTGTTTGAAAAACTTTACTGGTACAAATAAAAAATTTCTTGAGAAAAATTTTTAACAGGGAATTACAAAATAAAAAAAAATAATAAGAAAGAGAAAAGCGGGCAAACCTAGCTATAGGAAGGCTTCTTTAATAGAAGCAGGGAGCTTAATAAATCTTCGTAGTTTTAAAACCATTTTTCCTTTTTTTCATTTTTTTTCCTGTGAAGTGATCACAGAGTTCAGCAATTTTATATGTATTAAGTAATGGTTCGCGTAATAAGGAAAGGGGCGAAACGCAACGCATGTGCAGAACGATCCATTTTAATTGAATTAATTAATTAATTTCCGCCACTCTCATTGGTCAAAAACATCATTTTTACAATAAATCACGAAGAATCACGATTTGGGCCGAAACTAATGCCTTTTATGGTGGATATCTTATTGTTCCAACTCTCGGCCAATTCTCGGACGATTCGTATGTGCGGAAGTCGGTTTTCTGAAGTTAAGTTTGTTCTGACTTGAATGGAAAGACATCCCGGTAGACATATGCATGACACCCACTTAGACATGCGCGGCTTGCGTTTGTGAGAGGAGGGGAAGGGGAAATTATTTTCTCACGCCCAAAATGACCTTACCCCAACCTTTCGAACGCCTGGCACTACTTAAAACGTACCTCAACGTAACAGCCTATGAGCAAGCAAGAGAACATTGTTGGGACAATAATTAATGGACTCTAATCTGGCAGTGTATCCGTCGCTTGATTTGTATTAAACATTTGCATTTTGGAAAGTATCTAAGCCTGAACTACTGGAACTATATATGAAGACTATTTCTCTCCCTTCCTATTTGTAATCACCAGGGCCCGGTTGTTCGAAGGCCGATTATCGCTTAACCCGGGGTTAAATTTAACCCGCGTTTCTTTTTCTTGTGTTCAAAAGCATTTTCTCGGATAATTTTCTCTGTTATTTTTGGAGCTTCCAATAATCAACTTGTCGACCAAAAGAATTAAGGCTGAACTGCTTTTTAATCTTTCAAATCTGAATTCAAATCTCGCACTAACCCTGGGTTATCTTAACCCAGCTTTAAACAACTCGGCCCAGCTGATTACCAGGCCAAATGAATTCTAATTTTCCTTTGGGGTCGTGGAGGCTGTTAATAAACAAACACGGTATTAATTAAAGAAATGTATGTAAAAATGTATGTAAGAAATGTACCTGCAAAGTCTCTTGAGCAGTTTGTAGCTGTTTGGTTGTGCTCTGTAATTCTGTTGACAAGGCTTCCAGTTGTTCCTGATGAAAGAGAAATAATTTACAAGAAGGCCTACTACTGGGAAAAATCAACTAGCTTTAACCTTTAAAATACGAAAACTGTTGTGATTCGGAGATATGAGACTTCTTAAAAAGCGTTCGTAGGAATCGAAAACAAAATGACCTCGGAAATTAAAATGTTTCATAAACGGTACCTGAAGTTGTGATTCGTGCTTTCTGATCTTGTTGTTGACGCGAACATTCTTTTGAAGCCGTTCATTTTTGATCAACAATTCCAATTCTACCATAGAACGCTTGCACAATAGCGTATCCTGAAAGACCCGAAGCTTAGATTTTTCATATTCAGCTTCCAAAATTCTCAAATCGGCAGAAAACCACGGAAACTCTTCTTCGATCCCCGCCATCTCCGCCATCTTGAAGTTCGCGGTTTGTTTTCAAACTGATGCATTCTAGCTGCTAATTGGCCAAAATCTTCTAAATCGAGAAAGATAATTGGTTAATACTAAGTTTTCATTTGGAGTTACCGCAAGGAATATAGATCGCAGGCGCGCGTTACAAACAAAATGGCGGCTTCCAAGTCCTCTTTCGTCTCTTTCCGGAAGTATTTTCGATTCTCGTTTGTCGTGGTCATTCTAATAGATTTTGTCATGTTTACAGTGCGTTTAGATGCTCTTGACAACGGTTTGGCTTTAACTCCGCCCAGTAAGTCATTTTATGTCCACGATCACACTCAGTTGGCTTTTGACAAGCTTTAGCGAGCCCCAATTGTCCCTAGTAACTCAAGCCCTTCATATTCCCATTCTCCAAATGTTCATAGACTAACTGGTACTTTTGAATTCTAACTTGCAGTGGGATGGATGGCTTGGGAGAGATTCCGTTGCAATATAGATTGTAAAAATGATCCAGATAATTGTATAAGGTGAGATTGAACAAGACTCATATTTTTTGTTAATTTTTGGAGTTAAGCTTAATAAAGAAAATTCTTAGTTAATTTTCCAGGTACTCTGTAGGCAGTGCTACCAAATCTCCCAGATAATCTGGGAGATATTTTAGACTTTGGACTGTATCTCTCAGTCTCCAGATTAGGGTATGAAACCTCCCGGATAATCGCGAAAGTTTGCTATTTCTTCAGTAGACTCCACTTTCCGACAATAAATTTCAACTATTTTGCGTTGTTGAGCTACTTTGATGTTAACATGAAACGTTTCCTCACCAACCCTGGTATGCCATTGTAATATAAGAAATAAGTGATTGGTGAGAAGTAAACCAATCAGGTCAAAAGTTACAATTTACCATAAATCTTCTAATAAGCCCCCCAGGAGACTTATTTATTTTAGGCCCATCTGGAGATGGGGTGGTTTATTTGAGAAAGGGGGGGGGGGGGCTTATTTAATTTAGAAAAGACAATAGTATCAGTTCTCCATAAAGAACTAGAATACAAAGAGGAAAAACTTGAGTAAGTTTGGAGGTCATGCAGCTGAGGATCAGAATCAAATCCCAACTTTCAGGTGGTAAATAAACCATCCCAGATCAGTCCACATGATGTTTTACAGTTGTTATTGATTAATCCTGTCTATCATTTATTAGTGAAGAATAAATCAGGGGAGGGGAGGGGGGCGCTTAATAGAGGATTTACGGTAGGCATTTTGTGTCACCACATATTCGTGATGATCGGAGTCAACAAGTATTTTTTTTGCACAAAAGACGTCATGCGCCATGCATTGTGATGTCATCTATCATCCCTTCCCTATCAATTCTCAATATTTGAAGACATGGGGGAGTTGACAGCTCTGCTGTAGGTCACTTGTTTAGATCTCCTCTTTGAAGGAGAAATTTCAATATTAAATATTGAAAAATATCAAATTTTGATGTGCTGTTGCGCAGTTTGATCATTGTCAGTCTTTAGTTCAGAAATACAGTAAAGCAATCCTCCATTGTAACTTGATCGAGTGGTCATTAACATATTCTTGTAGCGCATTCTAATTGCAATAATGTGAATCAGGATATGAAGATGTCAAAATTTGGAGCCATTAAAGAGATCTTTGATTGGGACTAAAAATTTTTGTCACAAATACAGGAATGGAAAGGTTATTTTTGTGTTTTTGGGATAAAGTTTAGGCTTTGAAAATGGCATTGCATTGCCGGTGAAGCCCAGTTTATTGAGTGTTCTGTCATTGTTCTTTAGTGAAAAACTCTTCATGCAGATGGCGGATCGTATTGCTGAGGATGGCTTTAAAAATGCAGGTTATCAGTATGTTTGTATTGATGTAAGTATGCTTAGAAAATGCTTATGGTTGCTTCAATTCCATTGACCTGCTATAAACTCTTACTTAATAAATGAATTGCTATAAGGTGGGCATTGTCAAAACCTGCCTTGGACTGCAACAGATCAACCCCTGTAACCCTAATGCTAACCTTTTTTCATGTATTAAGTCCAGGTTCAATTTAGATTTTGTAGATGCCTTAGCCTGTTTCAGGAGGTCAGATGGTCGATCACAAACAAAAAATTGATAAGGGAAAAAAAGAATTTCACTCCCCACCACCTGAACCCCTGGAACAGGCTATTGATTCCTCTGAAAGGTACTTTAATCCAGAGTTGACCGGCAGCCCAGTGACTCAGTGCCAATTAAATTCACGTGCACGCACAGTATCAATACCACTTGAGAATAAACATCCTTTCTTGTGTTTTGGGTTCTGTAAAAAGACAAACATGAGCCCTTTGCAGCTAGCCATTCACCTGGTACAAAACTGCCATGCTGGAGAGCAAAAGTCACAATAAAAGGCATATATAATTTTAAATGGTAATTTCTTTTGTTTGTCTTGTCCCAGTGCGACTTTTGCTCTCCAGCATAGTGGTTTTGCAGCACGTGAATGGCTAGCTGCTAAGGGCCTAATGCATAGAGAATCAAACATTTTTAACTGGGCAACATGCAACAAACAGAATAGGATTTCAAGGAATTGAAATGATTTAAAAGGTAAACAAATTCAAACTCCATTGTGGTCCATGTTACATGCCCACACCTGATGCATATCTGTGCTTCCATATGGATTTACCACTGGATAACCTTAACCACTGGACAAAAGATCTGTTTAAAATCGGAACTGGGCCTTCAATGAGGCCAGATGGCCTTTGGGGCACTGGGCCACTGCAGGCCAAGGGCTGCATGTCTGTTTTTAGCAAAACCCACATGTTTAACACATGTTCAAGTATATGATGATGCTCTTTGTTAGCATTTTAAAAATTAATTTAATTTTGGATGGAGAAATGAGTCGCTAATCAGTTCATTTGTCCAATGTTATTCTTCAGGACTGCTGGTCTTCTCACAACAGAACTTTGACAGGGGATCTTCAACCAGATCCTGACAGGTTTCCACATGGAATTAAATACCTTGCTGATTATGTAAGTAGATTTTAAGTTCTTCCCAATCTTCTGAAAAAGACACTCAGCTCTCAGCTGGTAGATTTGAGACTTGACAGGACTAAAAAGAGTGAACAAGCCATGAACAGAGATTGGAAGAAACAGAAATGAGAAAATGCAGTCCCTCCTTTGCTACCTGCCTCCTGCCTCCTGTCCTCCTGTCACAAATTTTGCCAAAACTCATGATCAGTAACAGTAGAAACTGACACCAAATTGAGTGAAACATAAAAATAAGCACTCAAAACATTTAAAGAAGGTATCACTGACACAACAAAATAATACAAAAGTAAGCACAAATGAACAAACTTGAAGAAGGGTTTTTGAAAACTTGTTAGCTTTTAATAATTTTCAAAGTTCATTTTTGTTGTTTTTAACGTTTGATACAATGCTTGGGAAGTATATTTTTTAGACCTGCAGCTGTGATTTTGTCTTTTACAAGTAATTTCTCTGTTTACCTCAAGTTCCGCAGCACATAAGGAAGTGTAATAATTGGCAATTAATCAACAACATAAACTAGACAGCCGTGACTCAGCCCCTTTAACCCTTTAAGTCGCGAGAGTGACCAACATCAATTTTCTCCTAACAAAATCAATACATAATATAATAATTATACATAATTATTAAAAGAAAAGTTTATGAGAATAAATATAATGATCACCCAAGGGAGATGCTTTGATCTTTGAACAAATTCTCTCAACTAACTCTGTAAGGAAATGTGTGGAGAATTTGTATGTGGATATTGGGACTTATAGGGTTAACATGCTTGCCTGTGAAACAATACTGAGGAAATTATACCAGTGTAGATAGATGAAGAACCACTAGGTAATGTGGATATCCCACTCAAAAGCTTTATAGTGAATTACAATAGTTGTTATCTATTAGTTAGCAAATTGATAATAATAAATGATATTATTAGTTTTAGTTTTTTGTAAGAAAAATAGTTTTAAAATCTTCATCACTTTATATTGTTTTGTCTGTCTTCTATTAGATCCATTCTAAAGGCCTCAAGTTTGGATTATACGCAGGTATAATCATATGGTTTTTGAAAATACATTGCAGTTTTTTATGAATGAAATGCATAAATACATCAATAATATTATTGTAACTTGATGTTGCTTCATTACTAATTTTGGCATTACCTTTTAACTCCTACGTAGACTATGGCACTCTAACCTGTGAGCGTTATCCAGGTAGTATAGAGTACATCCAACAGGATATGCAGGTATACAGGGACACCGTTTTCTAAACTCAATGCATGTCCTCTATATTATTTCAGTCTCCTAGAAACACCAGGGCCCAGTTGTTCAAACTGAAGGATAGCCCAATGGATAAATCGCTCTTTAGTGGATTAATATCAGTGATGCCAATACAAATTGTACTTATTATCCACTGGATAGCATTATCCACCTTTTGAACAATTGAGGCCAGCTGATTTAACCCTGCCATTGTTGTAACCTTTGCACTTAAGTTTCGATTAGCCTGAGAAAACAACCCATTTTTCATGAAGCCACTGATTTCCCCACCAATTGACATCTGAGAAATTAACAAGTGCAGAAATTCTATACTGATGATACTTCACTACCCAGATCTGGGTAGCATTCTGGTTAGTTGCAAATTCACATATGAATGTGATAATGAAATGTCATCAGTACAGGGTGTTCACTATAGGAGAGGAGATCAGAGAATTCTCTGTTAACTACACAAAATTCTCTGGCAAATGTTTGGTAGCCTATGACTGTTTATTATTCAAACACGGAGCCTCTTTCAACGTCACACCTTTCTCCTGCGACTAGAATTCTTAGTGAAAACCCTGCATTATAGAATTTCTGTGGTTGTTCCTCACATGTCATTTTGCGGGGAAAACAGTGGTTGAATCGCAAAATGTCGGCTGTTTTCTCATGCTACACTTCCATAAGTGCCCAAAACCCAGTCAGAGAAAAATTCAAAGTTTTAGTTTGTGAATTAATAAGATACCAAATTATTGTATCAGTAATTTGGAAATTTTTCTAGAAAGGCATTCATTTGAATTGTACATGTGGCAGCTGTTGAAAGTATTATAATTTTTTCAATAAACAGATACTAACTATAACCACCTCCATGCAGACTAAAGCGTACTGTGATTTATTGGTGACGAATGCTACATCAAAATTAAATTTCATACTGCTGAAGATTCTAGGTGCAATATTAATATTATTATTGTAGAAATGCATGGTTGAACATTATCATTTTTCTTTTCGTTAAAATAGAAACCTCACAATTTCTCATTTTGTCATCATGTGCAAAAGACATCACAGAGAAGGCGTACAGTTCACTAAAGTAAAAATGTTATAACATTGCTAATTATAATGAACTGTGTTGTCAGAATTTGTTAGTATTGGTGCAAGAGTTAAAGATGAGTTTTACTGGGGATTTATGGTCTCTTACTTTCATTTCTGCAGCTGTTTGCTGACTGGGGAGTAGATTACTTGAAGATGGATGGATGCTTTGCTGATCCACTCACTTTTGATGAAGGTTATCCAACTGTGACAAGAGCATTAAATGAGTCAGGAAGACACATAGTGTTCTCGTGCAGCTGGCCTGCTTATCTAGTCTGGGGTGGAATAAAGGTACTTGGCCTTAATATTGGTATATGCTAGTTTAGTCTGGGGTAAGGATATAGAAATCAGAAAATAGTTTCCAAGAAAACTGATCAATAGGTTGAAGATCTTTGATCTTTGTTATTCTTCTCCATAAAACTGTGTTGTTGCAATGTCTTTTTAATCAATATGCATTTTTTTCCTTTTCATTTCAGCCCAACTACCCTCTGATAGCAAAGCACTGCAATTTGTGGCGTAATTATAATGATATACAGGTGGGGAAATTTGTTTTTTCTCTATTTCAAAGTTAAAGAACAACAATTTGCTCCTAGAAGTAAAGTTATCTACAGTCATGTTATACAATCGGTAAGGTAAACTGTTGGTTTCAGTGGGATTTATGGGTCAGGATTTGTAGGATTTATTTACTTTTACATGAATTCATCATGATGTCATTGCATACATTTTGGGCTCATTAGCCAGGCAATTAACCATAGAAGGCATCATGGCACATACATATTTGTACAAATTGAATCTAGTCGTTAAAAGTGCTGGCTTAAAGAGCTGAGTAATCTGTTTAATTTTGTATTGCTTTTTGTAAGAAATATTTAAGAGGCCTTTAAATGCCAAAAACTGCAGATTGAATATCAGGGAGGCAAAAACATTGTAGCCTGTTCCAGGCTCTCAGATAGTGGGGAAGACGCGAAAGTGTAGGGCGCGCGAAAATGGGGGCGGGGCTGGAAAAAACGGAAAAGGAAGGCCTCCCCCTCTCCCCAGTTTCCTCCCGTTTTTTTTTTCTTGTTCGGGCTTTCTCAATTCCGCGGGCCCGACTATGTCGGTGCCTGGAACAGGCTAAAAACGTTGATGATCTAAATCAGACCTGTTTGGGTGGGTTATAAAGCTTTTGGCTAAATACTCTTTGTCAAATTTCGAGTTTCTAAAAAGGGTTATTCCAAATTAAACTTAATAACATTGTCTGCTTTACAGTTGTCAACATAACTATGCCAAAAGAATACTTTATCATATTTGTTCATGCATAGGGTTTCCAAATCTTATATCTGTTGGAATAATGTAGCATGTCCAACAGAAAAAGTTGCATAATTTTCTAATTTGACATTACAGAAATCCTCGTTCTACTTGAAAAGTTGGGGTCAATTTAGGTCTCTGGGAAACTGCCCACCTACCCCTCCCCTAAGCTAGCATTAACACTTACTAAGGGCCGAAAATGATGGCTTAGGGGAGGGGAATGTAGGCAGTTTCTCAGAAGCCTAAATTGATCCAAAGTTGTACAAGACTACGACTACGATTGCGATGGGTTTTACAGTGGGTTTTCGAATCCATCCATCCTAGTTTAGTCATATGCCGTGTAACAAGCTTCCTGTTTATTGAAGGACTCTTGGTACAGTCTCATCAGAATCATTGATTGGTATGGTGATCATCAGGATGAAATGATCCCCGTTGCTGGACCAGGACACTGGAATGACCCAGACCAGGTACACTGATTAGGAAAGCAGAGCTATCAACTGCAAAACAGCCCGTTTTTTGCCAAGGTTAAGAATGCGCGCGAGCTGTCAAAGGGAAAGGTCTGAATTGAGGGTGAAAACGGAGGTTACCGGTCGTTTAGATACAAAGTCATTTCGATACAAGTTTACTCAGTTGAGTTGTAAATAGTTCCACGTACTTGACTTGAGTTCGTCTCGAAACGACTAGTATCGAAACGACCGGTTTCCAAAACGGAGAGTGAGACTGAGGAGGGACGCGAAAAATACGTTTTTTTCGCTCTCTCTCTCTTGCCACATACGCAAAAAAAAAAACACAAGAAAAAAAAAAAACGACTGTTTTGCACTCTAAGCTATGATCAGTTGACGGCGTCACGGCATACTAGCAGAAAGCTTTTCCCTGCCTATGACATAGTCAAAAATGGTAAACGCTGTTTTGAGATTTGGTCGAAAATCATCTGATTTTCAGAGCTTTGTGGTGGTTGTGAGGTTCAGACTCAAAAAGCGCTAAGTGACCTGACTATAAAATAACTGAGTTTCTACTGGGTGTTATGTCACAACCATTTCTAGCTAAGAAAGTCAGCATCTGCCTGGACTAAACCTAGAGGTGGCCATATATGTTATAAAAAAATTATATTCTGGAGCGTAGCGTCCATTTACGCGCATATAGGTCCGTGCGTGCATGTACCGGCTGAAATATGAAATTTTTTTATTTTCTGGAAAAGCATTTCCAGAAATGACTAATACACTGTTTGCACCATATTGGTGTCTTTGCGTTAGTATTTCCTTTATCTTTTGTATATTCCATAATTCTGATTGCTTCTCTGGCTTTTTTTCCCGTAAAAACTGTACCTTACCGACAACACTAGAGATGAGTAAAATAAATAGCTAACTACTGCGTTTTTCTGCGTATTAATTTGCTGAAATGGCATTTCCGGCACCCTTTAAAATAAGAATTTTCCCCTCAGACCCCCCGAGGATGGGCCGCTTTCGGTCCTACAACTTTTCTCTCCCCGCGCGTACACCTTCAAAATCTCACGCTACGCCCTTGATATTACCATGATATTACCTCTGAAAGTCAGATGTTCCTTTTGAATGGAAGATCCTCGGTTGAACTGTGTTTAACGGGTAAAATGCTCAGAGCAATTGTCAACTCTTCGGTGAAATGATTTGTTTCATTGTATTAATCTTGTAGCTTCTGATTGGAGATTTCAGTCTTAGCTATGAACAATCCAAGACACAGTTTGCAATCTGGGCGATTATCACCGCAGTAAGTAAAGATTTTTGTTCGTTTGCTTGTTTGTTATTTTTAACTCTTTGCTACCAAGAGGACTCAAGGTAAAAAAATAAAACAACATTCATGGGAATTCCCAAATTTCGTTTGGTAAAAAACTGAAATTGAATACAGTCGAACCTCCATTTGCGACCACCTCTCTTAAGCGATCACCAATCCAAAACACCAAAACTTCCCCAGTTTAAGCCTTACAGTTGGAACCTCTCGTAAACTACCACCTCCTGTAAGAGACGGCGACCACTATTTGGAGCTGACGGTTTAATGCTTTTCTGTTGTTTTTAACCTCTTGAAGCGACCACTTTACGAGTTTTCTGATCTCTTATGGTCTCTGTGTGAGATAATATACAAAGAACTTTAGTAACAACATGAAACTGCATAAATCCTAACTTGGAAATTGCATGAAATAAATTCTCCTCCTTAAAGTAGATGTGTCCGAACTTCTACTGGGAAGAAACCCCCTGTGGTTCGATTCTCGGAAGCGACCATCTCCCGTCGCTTACTACTGCCAAAGAGGTCTTATATGGATGCGCACACGACAGAATGTCATTCCCGTGGCCGGTTACCAGTACTTTGGACCTAAACCTGCCGGGAGACATTGCCCTGCTCTATACAGTAAACACCCGCTAATAAGAACCTGTGGTTTAAGAACCTGCTGGTAGAAATTTGGCACTTAAATACCCAAAAATACACAAACCTGCTTAGCCAAGCAAAATAAGCAAGTTCGTATTTTCGTGGGTTACAGGTAAATTAAGATAAACACTTTAACCAAGGAGTTTGACTTCGAGATTGCCAATTGATGTTACAAGAAGATACATGCACCAAACCGTAATTACAAATAGAAGTATTACTTTAATTCCTATGACGAAAAAAGGTTAAGGGTTGTCTTCATGGACCTTGCGTAAATGAAGTTGTGAAAAAGTGCTGTTTATTTAAGGACCACACTAAAGTTTCTATATTTTTCTGGAGTCAACAACTATAGGTGCGGTTTTACGGGACACTTTTACCGTGGTAAATGTCCCTTTTCCCGCGGTAAATTGGCGTGGTGCGTGTAACCTGAGATCAGGCCCAATTTTAGCGGTTCTCATACATTCTCTCTAACGGCTACCGCTAAAATCGCCTTGCCCTCCGGAATGTAATTTTCAAAGCGAAACGAAAATAGAGCCTGATCTCAGGTTATGGTGCGTGTGACCGGACTTTCCCGAGATAAATTTGCCATGGAAAATATCCATGGTTATGTCAAAAAGAGAAAAGAAACCGCCCATGGCATTTAACGTGGTAAATAGCTAGGGTTTTTTCGATACCCAAGGTAAGAGAGCCAATCAGGTTTCTTTATTTGACAATAACGTGAAACCGCCAAAAACTTTCTTTTTTTAAACGAGTTTCTTTCGCGCTGTTGAGAGAAATTAAAGGTCGACTGAACTGGTTTGTTGGGCCAAATTTAGAAACGATATTTCCCTAAAAAATATGTTCTATTCCTGGCATGTAATCGAACTATGGGATGCAGCTGAGCTGTAAAATGGAATCTAAGGTCAAGATTAAAAAAAAAATTCCATGCACCTTCGCTAAATTATCAGGACTAACATAACAGCTGAAATCTCAGCTAAACTCTTGGTAAATTTTCAACATAACATGAAATACTACCTTGATCGACGGCTTTTATTACCGCAATAGCGCGAATGAAGCCGTACAAGCGGCTAAATTAACTTGGGAATTAATGCATGTGAAACCACATGTTACCACGGTAAACTACTCCCTCGTTAAAATTTACCACGGCTTCGTTAACGTGGGAAATGCCTTTTGCCGTGGTGTGTGTAACCGCACCTTATATCTCCTCTAAGATTCTACTTAGCCTAAACTGCTAAAAAAAATACCCCAAAATGAAAGAAACTTTTTTGCCAGACCTTAAAAAATGTGAGTTCTTATTAGCGGGTATTTACTGTATTCTTAACAGTGTTTAACATATGACTAGTACTAGAAGTTAGTCAAGTAGTGTTAGGTTACATGTTTGTTTTTTATGAACAGTATTAAAATACTGTTTATTTGTTGATAGCCCCTGATGATGTCAAATGATCTGCGCAACATTGCTCCATGGGCTAGAGACATTTTACTCAACAGGTAAGTTACAACTTTACTTTGTAGTACCGTGAAAAGGTCAAAATCTCCTCCGTTTTATTTTGTACCTTCAAACAATCTGCTTGTGGAAGTTTTAACTAGTTTCGTTACAGACCCAGACTCTCCTCAAACATGTGCCCACCTCGACGATCTTTTTTCTTTCAAATGCCAACTTCTTATTAATTCTTGGAATAGTGCATTTAGTTTACCAAATCATTCTGATTTTATACCAGGGAGATCATAGAAGTTAATCAAGATAAGCTTGGAAAAATGGGACGCAGAGTTTCACAAGTAAGTCTTCAAAATGTAGCGAGTAATAAACGCCAAACTTGCGGTTCTGAGGGTCTGGCTGTTTACAGTGACGGAAATTGTCCGTACGTCGGATTCTGAATTTTCAGCATTCCGTTAGGGACGGATTAAAAGAACGTACCTTCCGCTAAAAAATATCGCCGAGAAGGGCACGAACAGTCTTGCTGCTCTTGTGTGGATACCATGGTTAAAACCCGTTTGGATTTTTTGATTTACCACGGCTTTATTTGTCGAGACTCTATTATTTACCTTGAATCGGAATTCGTATTTTTAGAGATGCAACCTAGGTTCCCGCGTTTACAGCAAACCCAAATGGCATCAAGTACCACGTGATCATGATTTTCCCACCACTTTCTTTGATCGGAAGTATTCTTTTAACATCAGGGCCAATTATGTCATTTATAAGAGGAAAAATAAGACGCCTCCTGAAAAAGACGCAAACTGTCCCGTATAACGGCACATTTCGTTTAAAATAAGACGCGACTTAGCTGAAACGCGTCTTATATAAGACCACCCCAACACCTAATCTTAGATAAGGCTGACTCGTCTTAGCTAAGTCGCGTCCCTTATTTCAGACGTTTTGTGGCGTAATTTATTCAGGACAGTTTGCGTCTTAATTAGGACGCGTCTTACTTTTCCTCGTATAAATGGTGCTATTCTGAGTGTCATCACTGAAACTGGAATCGAAGATGGTTTGAGGAAATTGGACACTAACCTCCGCTTGGAAAATTCCAGTCAGGAAAACAGCACTACCATTTCAGACTATCCGTTGCTCCTGGAAATTTGCCAACGGAAAAGTCGAGTCCTTTCGGTAAACTGCCCCTTTAGAATAAGGTTACACTTGCCAGTTCGTGCGCTGGTCTTACCTCGCCCTACGGAAGGAATTTCGTATTAAATCGCTTCCTTGGTTTTAAATGTATATGCGATGTGATTGGCTGAGAGAACTTTTGTTACTTTTTCAACCAGTCAGCGATTAATGAAGCTATGAACCAAAAGTTACATTCTTAAAAGTGTTGTCCGGTTCGTGACGCGGGTTTATGCATTTGCTTCAACCTTTTATTAGTTTATTGGCAAGATTTTACTGCGTTGTAATTGTCTTATTCTCAGTATTTACTTTAACTGAAAATAAGTAAACCGGACGCTTATTTTAAACACTCATGTGCATGTTTTACTTCTCCAAAGATCGAACTCAAAATGCGCTTTGATGAAGAACAGAGAAACTCTGACTACTGTTTCAGCAGCACGCGCAGTTTTCATTAATATCTACAAACCTTTCAATCTTATCGTCAATGATTCCCCATGGCAATAATATCATCTTATCGCATGTGAAAACTTGCTATCTTAGGCGAAACTCAATATTTCAAAGGATGTTTGGCAAGAATAAGTTATTTATTTATTTATTTATTTTTTGTTTGTCTGTTTGTTTTTTTGCAGAGTTTCAGACAGTACACAGAGGTGTGGAGTCGGCCATTGTATGACGGATCAGTGGCAGTGGTTTTGTTTAGTCGAAGACATGATCAGCCATATGTAATCGAGGCTTTCTTTGATGAGGTACCGCTAAGATAATTTATTTACTAGAAAACAAAGGAAATAATTTAAAGGCACACAATTGAAAATTCAATACTTACTTACTAAACAATTGAAAGTTCAATACTTAGTAAAAATCCAGAAAGAGAGACAATCGTAAGAGAACAGGCTCCAACTTGGTGAAGGCCTCAAAATAATATAGCCACATCGATTTCTGGTTACAATTGTCAAATCAAACTTGTACGAGCACTTTCAGAAATTCTTAATAAGGTTTGCCAAGGACCTCGTCGTTTCCCTAGGTCTTCTATATGAACGCCGCTGTTACAGTGATATGGGCATCCCCGCGTTTTGGGCATCCCTAGCCTGTGTGGCAAGCGTTTGAAAGGGAAGGGAAAACGAAGTTTTAGGCGCGAGAGAAACTCGAGGGGCGCGCGAGGATGGAGGGAAGCCCCTATTCTCTCACGCCCAAAACCCCTTCTCCCTTCCTTTTCAAAAGCCTGCAAGGCAGGCTTGGGTATCCCCATTCCCAAAACCCTAGTGACGTTGGCATCCCCTTCTCATATTACCTTAGCGATTTGGGTTAGCATTAGGGTTACAGGGGATGCCCAAAACGCGGGGATGCCCATATCACTGTGACACTGCCTCTTTCAGTGGTCCATCTAGAGAAACTGGGAACTATGTTTGTATCGTGATCTTTGCTGTTGTTTTATCATTGTTATCTGTCTGTTTGTTTGTTTGTTTGTTTATTTATATATTTATTATTCATTTATTCGTTTTGGTAGGTTGGGTTATCTACATCACTGGCAAAGGCGCGAGATCTCTTTGAACACAAAAACCTTGGCACGTTTAAGAAAAGCTTCAAGGCAAAAGTTAACCCGAGTGGGGTGGTCATGGTCAAATTATCTCCCATACAAGATGAATTGTGATTTGCGTAAAATTTTATCGATCAACGACAACTGCTTTATTTATTTCAAAATGTTTGTTACAAAATAGATTTAAATACAACCTGCAAGTAGCTAAGGCTCTTCGAGGCGGGTTGTGTGAAAATAAATTAATAAATGAATAAAAATAATTAGGTAGATTCGTGAAATAAAACGTAAAGAAACAAAGTGTTTTAAGAAAAAGGAAGATTAATCAGGTAAGACAATAGAGCACAATTAATTACACGACAAAGGGTAAAATTAAGTATGTCTTAATCTATAATTCCTATAGTTTTACTAATTTCAAAGCGACAAGATCAGTGTGTTGTCTCCACCTTCGGTTTTTTTCTATCAAAACAGCTAGGTGTTTAACATACTTTTCCTTCTAAAAGAAACTGAGATTGCTTTTCATTGTCAAATACCCAAATTTTAGGTTGACAGGAAAGTATCCTTTAATGGAGACGAAATATGACATAATTGACTGTCTTAATATTTAAGGTTAGCCTATTTGCAGTAAGCCATTCACAAAGTTTTTTTTGATTCTGCATTAACAGTCTTCTCTAATGATTTAAGGTTCCTATTTGCATAAAGTAAACTAGTATCGTCAGCAAAGAGGTAAAACTTCAATTTATCTGAGCAGTTACCAATATCATTAATGTAAAGTAAGACAAGCAGAGGACCAAACACTGAGCCTTGCGGGACTCCGCAAGGAGAGTTTACTGTATTAGAAATAAATGACCCAACACAAGTTGTCTGTGTATTGTAGGTAGGACGAAAACCAACTGTTGTTTACACCTCTTATACCATAGTGTTCCAGCCTCTTTAAAAGTATATTACGGTTCACGTGACAAAAGGTTTTTAAGATAAAAAAAAATGCCACGTGAGAATAATTTGTTATTCATGTTATTTTGGATGGTACTAATAATATCCAAAGTTGCATGATGTGTTGCATGTCTGCGATTAAAACCGTACTCGGGCAATGTGCAGAGACCCTCTATTTTCTCTTCAAAGTCAGCGCACTATTTTCAAGGTAATTTTCGCTTATTCAATCGAACTGAGTGCAAACAATTTTTCGTAAATTACGGTGATTCATAACATTTCTAAACAATTTGAACAGCGCGCGCGTATAGGCAAAAATCTTTGCTCGTTGGCACTTAGCGATAGCTATAACTAGTATAAAAGTATAAAACGTCAATCCAAAATTGCGTCAAAAGACAGGGTGCCCAGCATATGATTTTTTTGAAAACACTAACATCTCCCACTCGCCCAAGAGCAAAACCGATGATCAGAGTGCTGTTTGCACGTAAAATATGTTTTTACAGGAGCCTATTCTCTTTTCTGAAAGTAGCTCCCGATCAATACTGTAATAAAATTTAATTATTTGTTGCAGAATGCTTGATTTTTTTTGTAGAAAATCATGTCTCGTTTTTGGGCGGGGCCACCTGTAGTGTTTAAGCAGTGTGTTACAGAGTCCCATGATTTCTTTAGATTGCGGAGAACTTAAAACTAGCCGTTTTTGAATGGCACTAGTTCGGACGTCTTGTATCCGAATATTTGGCTAAAACCACCGTTTGAAATAGTATGAACTGTCGGCCGTTTCCACGGCTCCGAGTTGCCCCAACCTCGTCTTCAGGGCTTTTTCCCTTAGGAGATGGGAGGGGTGGTGTTACTGAGATACAGTGATATGGGCATCCCCTCCTTTTGGGCATCTCCATTCCCAAACCCCTTTCCGGTTTGGGTTAGGGTTACAGGGGATGCCCATATCATGACTGGGGTTTTGGGAATGCCCAAAACGCGGCTATACCCTTATCACTGTAACATCGCCCCTCCCATTGTCCAAGGGAAAAAGCTCTGGGAACGAGGTTGGAGTAATCCGTGCGATAGGGGGTGGAGCAACCTCGTTCCCAGGGTTCTCTCTTACCCAGTAGCCCTGGGAACGAGGTTGGGAGTAACTCTCTACGTTTTTAGCTTTCTTCATATCAAATTATTTTCGTCAGCGGTTTTTATATGGGCCAAAATGTAGTTTAGAGACAACATATTCGGTCCTTCCTGCCACGTGACCCATCTGTGCTTGTCCCTCCCCTCCCATGCTCACTACACGTCACGTCAAGTAAAACAGTCAAAAGCTACTCGGACGAGTATGGACACTTCTCCACTTCAGAGATCGGCGCAACGCAGCTTAGCGCCCCGAAATCATCGTTCGTATGTGTGAATAGAAGCCATATCCGGTATGGTTTTCGTACTGGCGTGAAAGCCATCCGGTATAGTATAAACATAGCCTTAATCAAGACAATCGTGATTTCCTGTTTACTGACGTCATTTTGAATCACTTTTGTTTGCCTGATATTCGTCGAACACACCCTACTTACGGTTATTATGCGCTTGTATGCTTCAAAGACGAATAACCATGAGAAAAAAAAAACACATTCAAAAGCACCCATTTATTGCAGTAACTATCAAAACAATTATCCTTATACCCTATTTATCTAGCAATTTGGAACACTTGTCACATGAAGTATGGCTTCTGTTGCTATATTTTGCCTCGCCAATCCAGTTATTTTATTCGAGTTTCTGAGCTGGGAGCCGCAAGTAACAGATTGAACGTGTTGTTTGTTTGGTTAGTTGGCTTATTAAGCCAAGAATGCGGTAGACCAGAAAAATGTGCGGGCTAAATCCATAAATATTAGGTGTGGATACCGCCGAAAGCGAGATTCAAAGACGGAACAGCACAACGGCAAAGCATTCTAGGTCATCAAACCACATTCGGGTCACTGATATTCACAACACAGAAAAAATCCGTTTCGAATAGAAAACTCATTTAAGACAAAATTTGCGGTTTAATCTAGTTTTCTTTCTTTAAAAAAATTGCTTTCCTAGTTTACAATTCATCTTTCTCCTTCTTTGACTTTTTCTTCTTCTTCTTCTTGTCGGTAGTGGGAAGTTCAAACGAGTTTGTGGCTTCACGTGTGAGGTACTCCACAAATGAATCTACATCTCTTCCGCCCTGGTACTTCTTCGGTTCACCCTTGCTGTTCATTGGAGCGAAGTATAGCGTTGGAAACCTGTTGAAACACAAAACAAAAAAAAATCAATTAATAAAAAAATCAATTCGAAACAATCAATTAACAAAAAAATCATTCGCTTTTCCCACTGCGGCTCTCGGCTTTTTGACATTTCGAGAGCTAACCAATCGTCTGAGGAAATCAAGGGGTTCTGGTTGTGTGGTTAGTATGAGTACGCTTGAATAAACGCACAGAAGATCAGTCGTCGTAGTTTAAGGCACAACTTATGCAGTTGCGAAAAGAAAGGCTGAAAAAATTCAGGCTTGCAAAAATTGGAACCCTGACCTTCAAAATGTACGTGCTCTACATGACAGCTGAGTAAACTGCAAATCTTTTTAATATTTTGTAGTGTTGCTCCAGATAACAGAGCGTATACTGTTACGCTTTTAGACCACGAAGGAGGCCGAAATCAATGTCTGATTGCAAAATGAGACAATGATTCCACTTCTTTTTTTACAGTGGTCCAGATTTTGCAGTTTTGCACAAGTTTAAGGCAGATTTGTATTCCTTGCGAATGGGTTCAGCTTTAGCTTCTCAGAATTGTGTCACGTTACCTCGACTCTCGATAAACTGGACACCTCTACAAGACGGGCAGTCAGAGCCGGTCCCGTAGTTGTCCGTCTTTGAGAGATTTGACTGTATTCATTTCTGTAACTCACCCTGATACTTTAAAAGGGGGTGGAACGTCATTTGCTGTAGCGTCCATCTTGGCTATAACAATGTCTTTGACATCTTTCAGCTAAAATTCAGAAACTCCACATTAATAAATCACAAAGAAAAATAAAAATTTAACGAGTGACTTTATAAATCTAATAAAGCAAGGCTGACCGGGCTGCGATTTTTAAGTTCCAATTTTTCTTCCAATTTCCAAATATTCATCCACCTCTTAGAAGTTTTTGACCACAATTTGTTTACTGCCTTCTATTTCGGCCCCAACATTCGCTGGCAACCAGGCCGCTATTTGCCTGTGTAAAACCACCCCCACCCCTCAAACAAAATCAGGGAGTGACTGTACACAGGCTAGACCGACACATTTTGGAAAAAAACATACTATCGTGCTTATGTTGTTGTCATGGTAACCAAGTTATGCCATCTGTTTTTGCTGTTATACCACGTACTATTACGCTGAAATACCATTATACTACTAGTAATAACCAAAAGTTACGAAGTGCGGGCGACAACGATCGAAGGTCAAAACGCTTTTGCTCCATCACTGTGCTTTGCTAAGTCTCACGTGAGAGATACTCAAAACAGAAGTGATCAGATGACGAGTGATAGAAGGTCCAAACGCGCGTGATCAAATTGCGTTCTGTGCATTCCACTCATTCTTTGTGGAAGTGCAAACGAAGGCTGGCTACATACATAAAAAGCATGCGTAATACCAACCTGGAGATTAGGATTGCAAGCAACATGAGGAACCCCCAATTAACCAATCAAACCTCCAAAATTTCTCGGCTTATATTACTAATTCATCAATAGCGATTGATTGATTATTGATTATCCGCACAAGGTTAAAAATTCAAAGCAAAACAAAACAAAAACGACACTAGTAACCCACCTTCTCTCCAAGCTCTTTGTAGATGGGTTCCAAGCTCTTACAATGGCCACACCACGGTGCGTAAAACTCAATCAACACATCCTTAGTTGGGTCATTAACGATCTCATTGAATGTTTTACCAACAACAACCTGATGCATAGACAAGAGAAAATGAAGAAAACATTAAAACAGACCCAATCTGATTCTATGAAAAAGACCTAAAGATACAGTTGTTTTAAATAATACTTTATACACTTCAATAATTTGTTTTATGACTCAGACACGAGGCAAAATGAATCAGATCGGTAAAACCTTATAGTGTATAATATCAATAAACTCACAAAAAAAAAACCCTTAAAGTTAGTTTTATTATTAAAAAAATAACCGAATATCTAACTTTTATTAGTCTTAATTTGCCATCATTTCTCTCTATGCCAGAAGGAGAATAAGATCGTTTATACTAATTTTTTTATAATGCTGTACTATTCAATAGCAAGAACCCACTTAAGTTATCTCCCAACATCCTGTGTGAATTGGCCGTTAGATTGTTTAAGCCCTCATTAAGATTTCAGTGAATAAGCAAAAGTTTCGTTGTCTTGCAGTAGCCTTGCAGCTCTTCAGAACCTCTAATTTAATGGGACCCCTATAGGTCGCAGCTAGCTCCTTTGTTTTCAGGCTAGGTTCCATTGTTAATATAGCTTGTTTTTTGTTTTCCCAAGTGTTTGCAAACCAATTCCGGATCCCTCGAGGGCTTCTGCGAGCTGCAGGATCACCTTCTCTCATAAGATCTCTATTTTCTTCTGATTATGGTAGACATTTAGCACTGCAAAGTTTAGACCTTTACCAGTAAATACCTTAACTGGCCCATCATTTTCTTCTGGAACAGCCTCTGATTTGATATACGGTTCAAGCTTTCCAGCAAAGTACTGCTGCAAGAATTCTCTAAAGGTATCCACACTAGAAATCAATGACAACAGGGAAAATTAGGCTCCTAGTGAAGCTCATTGATGTAGAAAAATACAAAGAAGCTCTCGAAAATGACTTTACAAAACCAAAACTACATTCACTACATTCACCAGCACTTAATTTGGCAAAGTAATGGAGATCTTGTAATGTGGCAGAAAAATGTATTAAACCGAACCTTGCAACAGGGTTAATGTGAAATTTGAATTAAGATATGAAAGCTTAAACAGCAATTTCAGTTTAATTGTTTGTTACTAAACTTTGGTGATGGGATGATCTAAAAAAATAGAGCCAAATAATTATCCAAAAAAATTTAATGCTTTTGGACAAAAGAAAAAAGAGAAGCAACCTGAATTTGGATTTTAAACCTGGGTTAGCACTAATCAGCCTTCGAACAACTGGGCCCAGTTGCTCAAATGGAACCAACATGTTGTGATGAAAATGGTAAAAAAAAATGGGTATCAGGCTCTCTTTTTTAAACACCTTGTTCTGCGAAGTGCTTTAGATTGGTCATGCCACGTGGGGAAATTCGTTTTAACAAATCAGAAGCACAACCCATATATGAGTAGTGACATGTCATCAGTATGGAATTTCTGCGCTCGTTTCTCAGACGTCATTTCAAGGGGAAACCTGTGGCACTGCATTCCTTCACCCACCAATTGAAATAATTAATTATTGATTTCCTTAGTCCCAGTTGTCTTGCCACCCATAAACTTGTTGTTTAGATCAGGTTATTAGTTTCACTCATGTTTGCTGTGTTGCTGTTTTTTACTATTCTGTCTTCTTTGAGTGTAACTTCCTTTAGCCTCTTCTTTTCTAGTTTCTTAAAGACAATCCTGTCAGTGGCTAAATCTCCTCTTTTTTTATTTCGTCAAGAATTGTCTTATCCTCTTAAGACAAATCACAGTCACCATTTATCATTGAATCACTCCAAATGTCACCAACTTTTCCCAATACGCTAACTTCTTCTTCTTCTTCTTCTCTTAACTTTAACGAGGGTGGCTTTGGGCTTTGGGGTTACTGATGCTTGCTAAAGGCATCACCATCAGACTATGGTAGGTTAAGCTAGAGCACCAGCCTGTCCTACCCCAGAGCACATATTATACCGCTAATATTATTATTATTATTATTATTATTATTGTCGTTAATTGGGATAGCCCAGACTTAATGCAATTTTGATTTTCTTTTCTTCTTTTTTTTTTTTTGGAATAATCCAATCTCAGGCAGTATTTGTAAATTGCCTATACAGAGCGAGATTTACAATAATTATTGTACATTCAAAAACACAAATAAAGTTTCCATTATTATTATTATTGTTATTATTATTATTATTACTGTTGTGTGATCCTCTCTGATCTAGTTCTTTGTTATTTTCTGGGTAATCTCAGCCATGTCTCAGCAACATTCCTGCAGCTCAGAGAAACAACACTTTCAGCAAGACATGAACAGTACCAGAGATGGCTGACAACTGGGCACTTCCAAAAATGGCCGGTAGACTCAACTTCCCATACCAGGCCATTGTATTCTTTGAGATAGTTTCAAGCACACTAATCAAGAAGGGTATTACTGTCACTCTCAAGGCTTTGTGGAGTTTTTAAATTTCAAGAGCTAGGTCTTGATACTTTTTCACCTTTTCCTCCTTAGTAGTAAGGATACTTTCATCTGCTGGCACAGCAATGTCAATAAGTGTTCACTCCTGTAACTATGTCTTTATGTACAACAGTAGAATCTGGACAATTGTGCTTCAGTTGCTTGTCCATAAAGATAGCCATATCCCAAGTTATCCTCACTTCTCCATACTCTGCCACTGGTAAGTGTTGGTACACTGTAATCCATACTTCCTGCATAGCTCCCAATGTACCCGTAGAGCCACCATTTTGTGGCCCTTCCCATATTCCTTCTGCGCAAGCATCCACTGACAATATGTCATATTACTGTATTGGTGGATTCACTGCACAATCTGTACAGCAGTGTCTCAGATGTCTTATATACGCTGTGCTTGACCAAGTTTGTTCTCAAAGCATATTATCGCATATTGTTATTCTCAAAGCTTGTTATTTTTATTAAAAGTGCCCTTATGTTTGATACTGTACCTGAAGGTTTCTTTCATGACATATTTACTTTCATCATCACTTGTAATAAGCACAGCATGTTGGTCCTCACTTTTGGAACCAATGTCGCTCAAAATTCGTGAAAAATCTCCTTTAGACGCTATGGCAAAGTTGAGAACTTTTTCTTTAAACTCCCTAGCAACTTTTATTACACGGTTTCGCCAGTAATTAGTTCCTGCAATGCACAAGAGGTAGAATATATAACATAGCATATAATTAGCAAAAATGACCAATAAATAATGAGATGACTAAGATGTGTAAGCCTTGTTCTCGTAAACCACCTGTGGCATAGCCAGCAGTAATACCTGGGTCCTGTTCTAACTAATACCTTCTGATGCTGGCAACTTCTGTTCCCATACACCAGAACAGCCTCGTCAGGCAGTATGAGCAACAGCTCTGAAGTATATGTTGGCCACTTATGTTGTTTAGTATTCATTTATAAATTTAACTATTTTAGACTTCCTTCATAGCATAGAAATAGCGTTTTTCCTCTTCTCCTCTTTTTTTTTTTTTTGCTCTTTTTCTTTTTATGTGTGCATTTGTGCTTCAGTTTTCTTGCTGACATGTAATTTGATTTTATTTAATGCTGATGTCAACTGGCTGCCTGGCTCTGCTAACCCCATGGTTATTCCAGGCAGCCAGTACTCTAATTTCTACTTCTAATATTTTCATTATTGTAATATATTTTTGAGCAAGAGTGAGTACAAATAAAGATTGATTGATTGCTTGCTTAAAACCTAGGAACTCTGTAGAGCTAAAAAAAGCTGAGCCCAGTACTCTGAGACCAAAAGATTTTGTTTCTGGGAAACTGCCCACCTACCCCTTCCCAAGGCCAACATTTTGCCCAAAGTGAGAAGTAAGTGTTAATGTAGGCTTAGGGGAGGGGTACGTGGGCAGTTTCCCAGAAAAAGGGCTCGAAATAACGTCCAGTCAATGGACAATGTCCGGACTGATTGGGGAGTTGACTGGTCAACCTTTTGTCTTGCCGGTCATGCTGACCAGTCACATTTGACCATATTTAAAATGAAATAAATCAAAATTTCCATGCTGTTCAGTTGTTTCAGTTGTTACTAGTATGTAGTGAGTCGCTGTGTATTGCGGAACTTTGATCTGAAATCTGAGTGAAATGCAACTACAGCCATTGTTTACAATTCGCTCATTGAAACAGACATCGGGGTTTACGCACTTCCGGAAACATATAATTATTATGATCCTTATTTTCTTACTGGGCAATCAACTAACTTAAAGCTCACTTGCCACATGGCAAAGGTCCTGGAAATTCACATTCTAAATGAATCAATAAGAAGCAATAAATGGTTCCAAAACAAGCAGCAACTGAGAGCTGCTTGCCTAATGAACAAGCTAAAGTTCAAGTATTTTTTCATTTTCAAACCCTACGATGGAACACCCTAGAACACCTTGCAATAAATCAAATGAAGGACATGAACACTCAGACAGCCTTTAACCACGTTTATTGTCACAAATGAAAATTAGGGAGTAAACATATTTAGCATTTGCTGTGGGAGCTGTCAAACAATCTCATTGTTGGGAAAATGTCATAACACTAGCTCATGACATTGCTGCGAAAATCTAGTGGAAATATTTTGACTGTTAGACTGCTCCTGCCCAGATGATGATGATGATGATGATGATGATGATGATGATGGTGATGATGTTAGACTGGACTTAATGCTTTGATTGCTCAGATAAAAGAGCAAATGCAAAGTAACTCTGAGCCCTCCTTGATAGCATATAATGATTATATTTGTCTGGAACCCCAAGAAACTGTCTGTGTAAACAACAGTGTCACTTCCACGCCTTGTCACTTGAACTATGCTCTGTTTGAAAACTTACCTTTAGCATTGAGTTTATAGTCAACATCATAATAGACAACACATAAAGGCTTCTTGAACTGATCACTGTTGTCTTGAGTCATGTGTCCAACAAGTCCATGAACAGTTGCATCAATAAACTTTTTGATGGTAAAAGCCTCTGGTATTCCAGTATAAACTTCTTTGCTTGGTTCAAGCTTAGTGTGAAGGTGCTTTGGGCGGAAAATCACAATCTCGCTGAAAGGTAAACAGATAATATTAATTTTGTCATAGACATTACCAGGGTTCGCAAATACGCCAAATTTGGCGTATTTTACGCCAAAATTGTTCAGATGACTCCACGGAGGTTGCAGAGGGAGTCACTTCGACTCCAGAAATTTCGGTAACAAACAGGGAGCCACTTCGACTCCAGAAATTTGCGGTAACAAGCACAGTTTTGTCCTTACCTTTTTCACAACAAATACAATTCACGTTAATTGTAAACGTTGTAAACCTTAATTAAATCATCGAAATTAAAGAATTATACTGCACGACAAAACAGGAAGAGGGTAAATTACAATCAAAGTTTACTCGATGACCGCCATCATGGATTTGAGCTTTCCAGGTCAGCGGACCGCTACGGCTACTTCGTGTATCCCTCCCTCATGGCTTTTTTCGTTGTGATACTTGACTCCAAATATTCCAAAATGACTCCAAAATTTGTGAAGTAGAAGTCACACTGACTCCACTCATCAATAAAATTTGCAAACCCTGCATTACCTTCACAGTTGTAACATTACTTCTATTAACTTTTAAACCTCGAATCACTCACAAGAATTAAAACTTCCCATTTGATTTCCAAACATCATCAACTAAGAAAAATCGGATTGCTCAGTGATTTAATTACAAATAGTTATGGTGAGTCCTGGGACTCATCTTATAAAAAATCATGAGTTCCAGTCCAGAACCAATGAGTCCCAGTTAACAAAAAAACGAGTCCAAAATTGATAATGCTTGGGCCTTGTAACCAGACAGTTAATCTGAAGACAGACCCCCAAACTCTATAGTCCTATTTAAAAGCACAACAAAGGCTAAAATAAATGTGCATCGTTAAACAAGAGCTATCATAACTGCCACAGAAATAATTACGCGAACGGACAGTTCCCTGACTTTTCTAGCACCCCTTTCCACACCACTATAAATCCCAATGCCCATTCTAAAGGCCCTGCTCAGGTAAAACTCTGACAAGCAACATGGCCTTGAAACAGCTACATAAGACAGATGAAATGGCGACGACATAAAAATGGGTAAAATACCAACAGAGACATGGCCTACTCCTCAAAATGAGAAACTACCATATCTGAAATTCAGACTAGGGACATATGTACCCTTCCTAAGAGCGTATAACCCCTCAGTACATAAATCATGAAATCAAACCAAGATGGCCATCCATCAAGGCAAGTGCTTGACCTTGACAATCAAACCTCAGCATTACATACAGTATTTTGACTGTAATTCTAAAATTTATAAGATCTGTATTTGCTAATGTATTTAAATAATGTATCATTCATTTTTAGTCAATCTGACATTCTAAAAGCAGTATTCTTAATTATAGCGCTATATGAAAGAAGATCATTGCAGTAAAAGACACAACTTTTGCAGTTGCGAAAAGAAGGCAAAAAAAATTCAGGCTTGTACCGGATTCGAACCCTTGACCTTTGCGATACCGGTGCAGCGCTCTACAGATATTGAGCTAATAAGCCAACCAGAAACAGGTTGTTGAATTGGTTCATATAAACCCATAAAAGGATGATGACCAAGTTATGAACCTATGAAAATCAGATATTTCTTTCCACAAATGCAAAAGTTGTGTCTATAACTGCGATGATCTTTCATATAATTCTTCACCCCACAGTTCTCATATATGATTTTCATATATTTGTAACTTCATAATTATAGCACTGCTAGCAATGCTCTAGTAATGCTATGCATGTAGCAAAGAAAAACATGAACATAAAGAGAAACTTACTCTTTGTGTCCCATTTCTGTTATGATCTCCTCACTTGTTGTATGTAGGAAAGTGTAACGTTCTCGGTAGTCATTAGCAACTTTCATAAATTCTGTGCGCAGATCCTCATTCTTGTCAAAGAATCCTTTAAATAATACACAAAAACAGAAAACTTACCAGAAATTCTTTTACTGAAATAAAGCAAGTTAAACTGTACACTTGGACCTTTATCATGTTTATGAAAAGAAGCCTACTCACCAGTAATCATAGCAAGGTCAGAACCATCCATTTTCTTCTTCATACTTTCCATATCCATCATTTCTATGGAATTAAAACAGTCAAATGTAAAATAAACAAATAAATGCAAACTAGTTACAGCAAAAGTCCTGTCCAATTGTCTGGGACAGGTCGATTGCTGAGCAAGTAACTTTTGAAGCTTACTTGCTGCCCAATGAGCAAGGGTTCAGGTGAGTCATCCTCCAACTAAATCATTAACTAAGACAAGCAAGAAGCTGCCCCAGGCAAGCAAAATGGAAGAGCTGCTTGCGCAAAGGACAAGCTTGAACTCAAGTTCTTTTTGAGACTGTGGTTACACAACATACATGCAAAATAAGTAATATATAGATTTAGCCAGGGCTAAAAGCGAAGCTCTTGTTTATATCTATAGTTTACTCAAACAAAATATAAAATCGTGTAATGCCAAGCAGCGAAGGCAACGAAAACAGCCAAAAAAATCAGAAGGTCTAATTAGCCAAAAAAAACTTTGCAAGTGCAGAACACTTTTTTTTTAATTAGAAAAAAATAACAACAACAACTTTGCAGATTTTTTTTGGTACATTTCGTGCATAGAAAGTAGAGTCCGATAGCCCGGGGCTAGTGGGTTTTGCTATCGGGCCAGTGAATTCTGTTATAACTTGCCCGACAGGCAAGTGAAGTTTTTTGAGGAATCCAAATTAAAGAGGAACTGCGAAATCAATCTGCTCATCAAAACGTTTTTGGGGCTAGTTGAAATGATGTTTGGGCTAGTAAATGTTAGCTTCAGCTTGCCTGAATGGCAGGCTATAAATGTGACTTTCTTTGCACCATGCATTGTTTTGCACAACTACAATGTGGCTTCCATAAACTTCCTAGTTACATGTTTTATTCAGGAAATGTTGTATGTGTTCCTGTTCACTTTTTTCTTCGCTTCCACTCATTTTCACCTTGGGGGCCGTTAGCATTTCTCACTTTCTTACTGCCGCTATAAAATGTTCATGTTACTCTTATGACGAAATTGGTCTCCTTTGTTTTTTATCTCTCGCTCTAGCCCTTTCTCTGTTATCCATGTCAATGTAAAAATTAATTTGAAAGAAAGAATCGGCTTTGTTGTTGTTGTTTTTTCTCTAAAACTCTGGGTGGCTAAGCGATTTACCACCGAAAAGCTCAGGTACTTGAAATGCAAAATTTAAATCCGGCTTACATGAAGGGGGGGACGTACGTACGTACTGTGTACAGATGATTTTGTTAGAACCAAAATTTCTTGGATGCAGAAATATCAAAGTTTTCTTACCCATGATGCTCCACTGCACGTGCGAGAGCTCCGCTATCACTCAGGCCTAAGGGCTCAGAGGATCATGCAAGATGGGATTACAGTAACCAAAAACATCAAAAGGACAAACAAATTTGGGGCTATTCTTCAAATCCAAGGAGCACTTGTAGAATTCAATGAAAGTGCCTGATTTAAAACTACCATAACAATAATAATTATTATTCTCAAATTATCAAATACAGGGTTGTCAAAATGCGCCGGCGACCGGCGCTATCGCCGGCTACTCTGAGGTTTTCGCCGGCTGTAAATTGCTGGGGAAAAGGGAAAAATAGAGGATTAAAAAAAAGTTGTAAAGTAGAAAATAGAATAGAAAAAGAAATTGTTTTCATCATGTCCTGAATGTTCTTTTTCATGATTTTGAAACGTGTTTTCTAATCTGCTCCCGATTACTTCTTTCTGTAGCCGTAATATGATACCACGAAGCGAATAAAAATAGCGTTGATGCATGCGATGGGTTTGTTTACATAGTCTTTCCTTCGTTGACAATGAAGAATAAAAGACACGCGAAAGCTTTCGAGTGGTTTTCGCACTCATCTGGTACGAGTTTGCGTTTGAAATCGAATCAAATGTAATACGATGTATTAAATTGGCTGACAAACATGGCGCATTCGAAAACGTTGGTTAATTTGTCAGACGTGTAGAACATCATTTTCTTTTCTTTCATGGATTGATGCCAATAAAAGAGTCGTGCATGATACATGTGCAGAAATAAAATTTGTTGTGATGTATCTTCCAAGGAAAGTTGTCTGAAACTTCATTCTTATACAGAAAATCGCCCGTAAGAAAAGTATTTCTAATTCTACATCAAAGTTGCGCACTTGCCGATAACGCAATGCAGCCAAAGGCAACAAATAAAAATTCCCGCTCTTGGTATCCTATTACACTTGCTCAATCCACATGTGGTCTTGGGAAACTTGTATATTCGGAGTTTGTATGAGAAAATGGCTAAACGACAGTCCTCTCTGGTCAACCTTTTTAGCAAAAGAGCAAGAAGTGAAGGTGAGTTTGTTGACCAACAGTAAGTTTTTTCTTCCCGGTGATTTTCGTCTGTTTTTTCCTTTGCTTTGCGTGACGGCGGCATTGCTGAGGGTAATTTTGTCACTCTTAATCTGTTATCATTAAAAAGATCTGAGAAATAGTAAACATTATTATTGTAAACAAACAAATATGGACCTAACATGTACTAGGATATGGCATCTAAGAGAATAATGAAATGGGGAATAAAAAAAAAATTGATGATGTTCATTCAAAATACTCAGGATTGTTAGCATTGCTCTCGGGAGAGCCAATTTCAGCTAGCGCGAAAACCTCAAATCCGTTTTGCTTCCGGGGGCTTCGCCCCCTGGACCCCAAACAGGGCGCTGCCCCTGTACCCCGCTGGGGGCCTAGGCGGCCCCCAGACCCCTCGCCTCCTGGGTGGCCTCCGGCCCCCAGTGCCGCCTACTCACTTTCGTTCTCCGGCTACTTCAAATCATTTTGACAACCCTGCAAATAGGTAGACAAGTGCTTCATGTAAACTTTTGCATCATCTTTTGTGAACAAATTGAGTCAGTTTTTTGACCATTTGCATACCGTATTCGAATTAGTACCCAACCTCGAATTAGCGCCCATCCTAAAGGCAGAAAAAGTTAAGAAGCACCCAGCCCCGGGCTATCCGACACTACTTTCTTTGCACACTGATTTTTGGAAATCAGAAATTGCACCTGCAGTTGCGGCAAAGCTGAGAACAAAAGATAATGCAAATGTTAGGTTTACATGAAGCTCTACAAAAATGGCAAGTTGAGAGTATTATGGTATTTTGGTGGCCATCTCAACCACGCCTTGGATCATGAAGTTGTCTTTTAACCCTAATTAAAAAGGGTTGTTGAAACCTTTTAATACTAACCTTTGGAACTGGGTCCAGCCTGCTTTTTCATGTACGAAACTATACCCTCTAGAAAACAAACAAAACATGTAAGCAAAAAGGTGTATTATTTTACAAATTTTCTACTACGTGGCAAACAGCAGAACAACAAGACTAGGTGTTATTCTGTGTAATTTGAGTACGCTATGTTCCTACAGCTGAACATGCCTGGTCAAATTTAGCAGAATTTATGTTCAAGCAAAGCCTACGGGAGCTTTCACTCTTATCAAGGGCTTCTTCGATTCAACAAGCATGATCCAATAATGAATGTGGTGTTCCAGGTTGGTGAACCATGTTAAACAAAATAATTTCTAACCATAGTGTCACTGTCTGAGCTCAAAATGTTGAGCTCATTACTTCTTGGGGATTGCAATTATTGTAAGCATAAAAATAAATAAGTCAACTGCTTTGAGATTCCATCCTCAACACATTCAAAAGATGACTTGATACTGTGATAGTAAGCAACGGCGAAGACGGGAAGAATCCGCAATGATTCGCAAGTAGGCAAAAAATTGATCCGCTACGATCAGTAAGCAAAGTTACAATGCAAAGCAACACTAACAAAAGGGTACATAAGGAACCCTGCAATTCCCCACGGGCTGCCCCATAGGTCACATACTGAAGTGGGAGAAGACCGCTAGCCAGCTCGCTCAAGTTTAACTTTGCCTAAATGATATTTAGCCACATTAAAAACTGTGTGCCATATCCACAGATGAAACTCCCCTAAGTAGAGACACTGGGGACTGCGAGTGGGTAGAGGAACAAGATTTTGATTGCCAATTTTTGGGGTTAAATTTACATCTATAGTTTTTTGCTTTTTCCTCTGGTCTTGGCTGAATCATGTTCATTCTGAACTGGTTTTAAAAAGTTCTTTTTGCCCTTCACAAGTTAGATGACAAAATGGTCCTTGACCATTACTGATGATGTCACAAGCGGTACAAGGGACATGGATCAGCACTGGTGGGACGGGTATTGGCCATTCAGGGGGGAATGGGTTAACTTACTTGCTTCCCTTGGACCATCATAATCCTTGGACACCTCTCCATTACGGAAAATTTTTAGTGTTGGGTACCCACTAACACCATGTTTGCTGCAAGTTTCTTTTCCACTCTCTGTACAGTCAACCTGAGAGGGTGATATATATTGTTTCTTTACAGTGTAACACAATACAAAGGATTTTTTAGTAGCTAACACATCTGAACTATCAAGTCTCCTAGCCACCACTGCTCAGCAATAAAATGGTCTCACACAAACTGAATGTAAGATTCTCTTCAATTGCTAAGTCACTTTGCCTTACAGAGCATTTACACAAGTGAAAACACACCTAAATTTTCAACAATGAAAGTATTAAACTTTTACAATAACATTAGTCAACACATTGGCTACAACAATTTCTTCATCACACCTTAATTGAATACCTTATGAATAACTTAAACGTGCAAAAAGACAGACATCTAAACGTCTTTATTTTTGTCACAGAAATTCAGCATGCAGAAAATCTGGGTCTGAAAGTCACCTTGGATTTCACATATAGGTATATGGTACAAACATGTGTGATCCCTTGTAGTGTCACCTTAGTTTACCTTTAGACAGATACTGACTAGGACCACCTATGATAAAAATTTGTAATTCTGAAGAGTCTAACAAAAGTTGGGGGGTACCCTAGATTCCAAGTGATGTGAAGAATGGAATGGAGGCAAAAATCAAAACCATAGAAAATACCCCAGGGCTTCCAACAAACCCAATAAACCCCCCTCCCAAACAGAGCTGTGTGACCCAAGTTAGGTGTCCCTGATTGGAAATAATTAAATCTCAGTTCCCTTTGTCTCCTAGCCCTAATATTAATGAAAAGGAAACAAAAGAAATTGAGGAACAACCTGGGTTAATACCCTGATAAATCTCATTTTGACCTATGACATAATTCATACATGGGCCTATATAGGACTGCTGTTGTAAATAAAGGGTATGATTTTAAAGCAATTTCGCCTGGGACAGGGTATAGAGCGTTTTCATATGACGTCACTGCGACCATATAGGTGTTCAAACCATAAATCGGAAGTCATGTTGGTGTCCCAAACCAATCCTGTGGAAGTTGAACTCTTTTCTTCTGTGAACACGTTCTTTTGTTCCAATAAAATTTGAATAGATGCAGGTCATGTGAGTGAAAACTCACCATGGAACTCAAAGGATTATGGTCTAGATTAGTGTATCATTAATAATGGCCTGTTCCAGGCATTCATATAGTTGATTGGAGAGACTATCCCTCATTGCTCTGCCCAATCCCCCATTTTTATTTCAGGGTGCAAAGAAAATCATTTTTACAGCTTGCCATTCGGGCAAGCTGAAGCTAGCATTTACTAGCCCAGACATCATTTCAACTAGCCCCAAAAACTTTTTGACGAGCAGAATTGATTTAAAAGTTCTTCTGTTATTCGAATTCCTCAAAAAACATCACTTGCCCGTCGGGCAAGTTAAAAACAGGATTCACTAGCCCGATAGCAAAATCCACTAGCCCCGGGCTAACGGACACTACTTTCTTTGCACACTGTATTTACACATTCTCTATTCTTTGCTTACCTTGTTCTCCACTATCTGAACCCCTGAAGTAGGCTACGTCAATAGGGGAATTGCTATAGTACCACTTACAGCTAAAAGTTAGTCTGGGATAGGTTAGCTTAGGATCTGTTTTTTAGGGCTAGTTCCTATATACCCATCTTAGGGGTGAGCCAATTTTTAGGCTAAAATTTGTGGAACACCAAAGATTTGAGTGGAGAGTCTTAACTTCTTACCCCCTATCATCACCTGACACAAATAAATAATGGCCCGTCCCTCTTTACCCAACACAAATTTGAAATCACTTTGAAGTTTATTCAGCTGTCCAAGGGTATTTTAAAAAAATTCTAAACAAACTTCAGCCTTAATAATCATCTTAAGTATGATTGAAAAATTAGAGCAATTAGTATTTTACGAACAGAGGACCACATGTGAAGCCAGGCGATGGATGAAATAAAAATTTAAGATCTGAAACTACAGCTGATCGAAGACCTTACCTTGGCGAGTGGTACTGGTGGATCATTTTGTTTCAATTCAGTGGCAGCGACTTCGTACTCAGGAGCTAGTCTCTTGCAGTGTCCACACCTGTAATGTGCAACGAAGTAGGAATAAAGACAATTTACGTTTACGTGGTAAGACCAGATGAAAAAGCTAATAGAAAGTTGTTTCCGCTACATGACAGTAAGCTGAAACGTTTTGTAAATTTTTACCATGGTGCAAAGAATTCTACAAGCATGAGATCCTCTCCTTGTGTCCTGGATTTGAAATCGTCATCGCTGAGTTCGATCACATCGGAGGACTCTGCGAAAAACGCTACGTTTGCAAATAAAATCACTAAAAGAGTTCTCATAATCATGTTGTTTCCACTAGAGCACAACTTTCAGGTGAAAACAGATCGAAAACTTCAGATACACGTTGGAAATGTACATGTGATAACAAACGGACAAATGGGCATTTCACAATGGAGACCATGTTGGCGCGCTCTGATTGGCTTCCACCATACACGTGTTAAGCAAATGATTGGTGGAAAAGTGGGAAATATGTAGTAAGTTTGAGGAAACTGCTAGGAGACGAGAATAACTAATCGGGAAGAAATATACGGTCACTGAGAACTACAAATGCAGAACAAAATAAAAGAAAGGGCTGCAGATTTTTCCTGAAGCTTAAGCACTGACAGGAATTACAATGCATTTCCACTCAATATACATACATGTATTTCAACTGCCATAAATTCGTGCAACGGCGTTTTTACAAGTGAGTTTATTTTTAGATAAGCTTTTCCCTGTTCCTGGTTCTCAGATAGTAGGGATGACGCGTAAGTGAAAGGCACGCGAATATATGAGCGCGTGATCTGAAAAGGTGCTTTCCACTCTGCCGAAGAGTTTTCCGAAAATTTTGGCTGATATGCATATATGTACTCTTCAGTCCACCTCCAGAGGTAATTTCCTGGTCCTGTCCCTTCGATATGCAAAAAATTCTCGCTTCCAGACCTTCCAGTCCCACTTCAATGAGAATTTAGAGTACGTGTAGTCCCCATTGAGTACTAAAGTGATGTCGTCATAAAAATGAAATTTCTGCAACTATGGCATGTGTCAGGATATTCTGAAAGAACAATGTCCAAGAGGCCCACTTGCCAAATATGGGCATTTCGGGGCAAATTGTCTCTAAGATCTTAGCCCAGTTATTGAGTACTAAAGTGATGACGTCATAAAAATGAAATTTCTGAAATTATGGGATTTGTCAGGATATTCTGAAAGAACAATGTCCAAGAGGCCTACTTGCCAAATATGGGCATTTCGGGGCAAATTGTCTCTAAGATCTTAGCCCAGTTATACTCAGAAAACTCCATACAAACCCTTATAAGTTTTTTTTGGGTCGACCCCCAAAAAAATTAGAAGGGTTTGTATGGAGTTTTTTAAGCATAACTGGGCTAGGAAATTTCATTTTTATGACGTCACACTTTAGTACTCTATTTTTCCTCCGGGATAGTAGAGGGAGCGCGCGTGAAAATCACCCCTGGTGATTTTCGACGGCTTCTAGTCAGTGATACAGCCTAAACCGGGGAGCTCCGCCTGATTGTTATCCTGGGAGAGGCCGGTCCAATTCTGGCACGCGTACGGTACTCGAAAATGGTACCTCCGGGCTTCAGGTACTGAAAAGGCAGGGATTTCGCCAGTTGACGTCTGTCTTTTGGGTCAATAAAAAGTCGAAACTGAGGTCTAACAGACGCATTTTAAGACTGTGGCAAAGACTGGAAAACGTTCTAGTTTCGTGAGTTATTCATATTGAAAAGACAGTGAATTTCAACAGTCAAAGGAATAAAAAGTCGATCTAAACTAGGTATGTGAAAAGGGTACGTACCAGTTGTCGTAGAAGGTATACCACTATATAACTTCATGTTTCCCTTCTGTTTTCTATATAATTGAATCATAGATGTCAGTACGATGTTTATATTGATCGATGGCAAAAAGCAGTGTTGATAGAAGGAAGCTAAGCAAGCCGGAGCAGTATTCAAAGACCAAAACGTTTGGCTTCGAGCCCAAACAAAGCGATCATCTGAATAAACATTGATAAAAGAACCAAAAGAATAGGAAAAGACTGAATTAAATTGTTATCATTTTCAGCAACAGACTCTGTACCCTGTGGTTGTGAAAGTCTCAAGTAAAAAGAATAAAACGATCAATGAAATTAAAGAATATTGTTGCAAAGTTCAGTACAAAGATATCAGCAAGTTAATAAAGGTTTAGAACTTAAGTTATTTTTGTAAGTTAGGAATCTGATAAATGAAACAGGTAAAATAATTTTCTGCTCGACCATCTTATAAGGTGGGGGTGGGGAAATCTTTCTCGATCTCCGGCCGCGTTCCCTACTTACCGTCAGATCCCCAACGCCAGACACGTTCTTTTGCATGAGCGCCCGGAATAGTCTGCTACACAGCCGTTTTTAGTTTCGTCACGCAACTTGTGGGGAGGATCGTTGCGTGACGAGACTAAAAAAGGGTGTGTAACTGAGACTAGGTCCGGGGGGTACTCCTGGGAATTGTCCGTGGGGGTTTGCCGCCCGGTTCTCCAAATCTTGACCCTATTTCAGGCCAATGAAATGTCATTTTCCAAACCCGTTTTAAGACCTGGAGGTGGTCACAAAGCGTAACATTACATGTTTGCATAAAACAGAAATTATGTCATCATTAGAGAGATTAAAACGGCAACAAAAATATTTCTTAAAATCCATTTCGAATTCGCATATTACACTCAGTCTTTTCCTTCATTTGGAATTGAAACGACGAACACATTGATACACAACCGTAGTTCCTTCGTAAACCATACTCGATTCCAGACCAAATTGGGGCAAAATCTATACCCGTTTTCAGAACAAAACGGGGCAAAAACCCTACCCTTTAGGGCGGCACAAACCTATATTATATGGCTTATTTGCGGGAGTACCCCCCCCCCCCCCCCCCCCCCCCCCCACCCCCCCCCACCCCCTGCCCCACTCCCTTTTCTTATTCTCTTTTTTTTTTTTTTGTATAAAACAAAGGAAACAAACAAATCAATTAGCGCGTATAGAACTACTAAATACCCAATTCCTACAAGCACCATCACCACATCCAAATTACACAACCCGTATTCCTTTGTAAAACCCACTCCATTTCCGACCAAATTTGGGGAAAAACTATACCCGTTTTTAAAACAAAACGGGGGAAAAACCCCACCCTTTTGGGCGGCACAAACCCATATTATATGGCTTTTTTTCGGGGGGACCCCCCCCCCCCCCCCCCCCACTGATTAGGGCCTAATGGGTGACTACCGAATCTCTCTTTTCATTAACTGCTGTATGTTGGAGAACACTACAATGAGAATCCCAGAGAATTTTACGTGCATTACTAGTAGCCAGAGTCTCGTGTCACAAATGCTCTCAACCTCATTCCCAGGGTTCTGGGAACGACGTTGATATGCCCTCGAAGAGACAGGCGGTTAAATTAACGACCCTTTTTCGGAGTTGCTCAGTGCTTATTTTGCGGAATTTGACCAACACTTGGAAGACACGCTACTCGGTCATCAGAGCGGGTCTAACTGGACAGGATGGAGAAGAGAAGACAAATTCGTGGGAAGCCGTGGGCTTTATTTAGAATTTTGGAACCTTTGCGCATGCGCCAGGTGGATGTAATCAGACTTTGCAACTTACTCACGCCGTTTTCTCACTGAGAATTATTCGATTTGCATATTTCCCCGTAGTGAAGGCAGCATTCGTGGAAACGTCACATTTTGTCGTAATTACCAGCGTTTGACTTAACTCATTTGCACCTGACAGGTCGCCGCTAATTTCTTCTTATTATAATTCTTGATTAATGCTGATATTTCACAGCAAAACCTGGCCTGAATTTCATCCTATTACTTCGAGTCGTTATTATTCCCTCAGTTGTTGAGAGGAGAAACCGACTCGAAGCAATCGGATGAATTTCAGGCTAAGCAAAACCGTCATTTGTGGTTTTTATCTCTTAACAGTCTCAATCAGAAGCCTCTCTAACTTGTAAGTCAGAAATGCTATTTAGAAAACGTCTTCATGTTTAATCCTAGCATTTTTCTTAATGCTTTTATCCGCTTAGTATTATAAACTGTACGGAAGCTTACCTCCGAAGTATGTGTGTTCGCGTGACTGCCGTCAGGACTCTGCGAGTTTCCGGCACGTTCTAGTCAGCACGTCTGCGTGGACGAATGACGTGGGGCGATCGCACGCGCGAGAAGAGTTTGCGAAAAGCACAAGTTCTATTAGTTGCGTGTTTTTTTACATAAAGACGATTCTTTTTCATTTAGAAATTGCCAAAAAGGGACAAACCCCCAAGAGAAAACCCCAAACTTGCGATTCCTCCCTGAAACTGAAAACGGGAGTGAGTTAACAGCGTTCTAAACTTTTTTAGTTCTTGATTTTTGGATTTTGAAACAGTTTCCCTAGAAAGTTTCTTCCTTCCGCTCTCATTCTTAATTTTGTTTTAATTTTAGTTGATTGAAAAGCGCCCACCAGCTCTTATCATGAAACAAAATAAAAGTATCTTGATTCAAGTGGGGTTTGAATTTTACATAATTAAAGGCACTTTCAATAGTTATACGTAGTGAGTGCGCGGTGCGCGCGCCTCTTCCTCCCTTGCCCCGGTAACTTAAGCAGTTATCAAAGCCGGAAAAACAGAAGTTTTGGTCGATAAAAACCTGTCGACCTTTTCTACCGGTTATTGCTTTTAGTTACTGTATATGACTGATTGACAGAGTAGCTGGCCAGAATGCCGGCCTTTTACGCTGTTTATGTTGTTCCTTGTCTGTTACAAATCTTTCAGATCACAGTTCCAAATTTGGAAAGAAGTAAATTTTTGGTCCGATAATTCTTTTAACTTTGACTTCCGATTTATATCCTTTATTACCCGGATTTATATCATGACCTAGTGGACTCCTAGAGGTCTTGTTTACACTTTTCTGTTGCCAAAGTAAACAACGTGTTCGATGTCACGACTTCAACTTGAGAACAAATCATCCAAGTTATTACAAAACTAGAAGCATTATTGTTAGCGTATGGGAAAATAGATGTGTAACGTTTTCTTTATTTCATTCATTCTCTATTCACTTTAATTTATTAGTTTGGTTAAAGAGAACGGGAGAAAAGAAACGCGAAAGGGACTCCTGGTGCAAAAACGTTACATAAAGAGCACAACACAATCTCATAATTCGGACGGGAATTTTTTTTCCCTGAGATCTACTGTTTTAAAAAATACAGGACATTTTTATACTTAAGCGTTTTTATTATTTTTCTCGTCAAGAGAACTAGAATATGTCTAAACAGTAGCCCAGATGCGAAGTGTTGGAGTGTTACTTTCGTACGCGACATGTCATTGGCTGTTGAAGATAAGGTATCAAATGAATAAAACATTTATAAAATGTTTTGTGATTGGCTTCTGGGAAGAGAGTTGTGAATCCGACTCTAGCGCCCAATATTGATTGTCTGCGCTGTAAATGCGTTGCATATTAGAAAATTGTAGGGGAGCGTTGAAATTTCATTGACTCGACGGAAAAGTGCCTTGTTAAGGCATCAGTTTTACCTCACAAACTTTCAGAGTGATCATTTCAGCGTTTATCGTATCACAGAGGGATCTTCTTTGGCTTTTATCGAAGTACGCTTGCACCAAATTTTGTTGACTGGGATGCCGCCATTATAGAAAGTGCAAGACAGGCTTTTTCATGGTTCCTTTCCGATTCATTTATCTTGAAACACCACCGCTTTGCTGAAGTGTAGCTGCAATTAATTGCAACCAACCTGGATCCGTTAGACGAATTCGACACGTCCAAAATGGACGATTTTAACGATGATGGTAGGTGGCTATTTATACATCAGCTGCATGTGTTGCAGTGTTTGCGACGAAAACCAAGAACATGGCGTTACTTTTTGTAGAGAGAAAATTAAATTTGCCTGTTTGTTGTTCAGATGACGGAATGGACAAGTCCTCCCACGGTCGGCTAAGGAAGAGGAAAGCAAACCAAAATTTTGTAATCAAGGAGTAAGTACAGACTTTTGTTAAGCTCAAATAAACCAGTCAGACGAACAAAATTCCGTTGCTTCGCTTTGCATTATCCCTTTTCTTTGAATTTTCTCTGTCTTTCCTTGCGTTAAACTTAAATGTTTATTTTGCTGTTCAGAGAGGATTCGGATGATGATGACATTGAGGGAAAGGGAGACCACAAAATGCCCAGGTACGCACCTTACTTTGTAATCACGATTTCCTGTTCTCCTATCGATTGATCCTTAGGCTTAAAAACTTTCCAGCTTGTTGTGAATATCTTCAGCTTTTGTAACAATAGTTAAGATGGTTGGATGGTAGTAAGGCTATTCTTGAAACGGAACTTCATCGGTCAAATACTGCTCCGGCTGAGGTTGAATTATTTAAGTTTACTCATTTTCGATTGTTGTCTTTCTAGCTGGACATAACACTTTTTCATATCAGCACATACACAGAACCTGCCAATGTTTCATGAAAACGTCTTCACTGAAAGCTGTAGTTTGTTTAGCAATTCGTTTATTTGCTAAGCATCAAAGAAACGTTTTTAATTTCTCCTGTTCATAGCAATCAGCCAGATGATATTTCTACAGCGATCAAGTGAGCTAATGTACAGTAATTCTTTTTTACAGAACGTCTGATGAGAATAACAAAGAGAAATTTGCAAGGTATTCAGTTTACGTTGTGTGATCACGTACGATTTGGTTATGTTATTCCCGCCTGAAGGTTTTTGCAACTACTTCCAAGTATCATAGAATATACCAAGACCAGTTTATTCTGCCACATCATTTTTTACTATTTCTATGTTTATGTGTTTGAAGTCTGACGATATAATGTTCAGTGTTTTCTTCTTTTCTTCAAAGAACACAAAAAATTGAAATTTTCAACAGTGGTACTTTAGTTATTTTCCTTTTTTTATGTTCTTTCTTCAAATGAAATACTTCTCTAACAGCTGTAAATTATAATACTCAATTAAGGTCTTTTTAAATATAAACTATCCTTTCTTGGTTTCAACCAAATACTGTAAATATAAATTTTGTTTGTCATCCTTTTCAAATCACTTCTTCTAAACTGACAAATGACATTAAATGTAATGGTTGAGTAATCTTGCTTGTCACATCAATGGTAAACCTCAATCTAATCTCTTGAATGAGCAGTTACTGAACAGATGATAAAGATGAAGCAAATACTGGTGTCTTATTTGTTTCATCCTCAGATGTTTCTCTTAACTGTATTAAAAATAAATTGACAATTCCAAAACGAAAGTAATGTTATTTCCTTTTGCTCTTAAGCAGTTTTTAACTTCCTTCCATGTGGATGCAAATTTTCTGGGTGCATTTTCCAATAAAAAAATAAGTCTTATTGACGATAACAATCATCATATGGCAGTCTTGCTAGCTACACCAGTGGTCCGTAAACTTATTTTTGCTTTTGGGTGACAGGAAAATTAATGTTGGCTTTTACACACAACTTGACACAACTTATATTCTGGCCACCCTAGATTTCATAGGCTGAGTACAGCCTTGACAATGCCAATTTTATTGTAAACTGTCGTCTAAGTTAACATTTTTGTTACGATGAAATGAACAGTACATTTGTACAATGCTTTTGTTTTGAGATGTGTTTTTTTTGTCATTTGCAGAGGCTTTATGGTAGTTTAGTATGGTTGTTGTAATAAAATTTTTGCTTGGTATAAATGTCTTTTTTTTTTGTATGATGTTGCCTTTTAATGAGTTTTGATTCAAAGGAAAATAAAAGTCAGACCAAGGGTAAAATTGAACTGCACTTTGAGCAATACTATTTTTCACAGAATACTAATCATAAATGTAGGGAAGATTCACAATGTTGTCAGTAAAATGTTTCACAGAGAGATAAAAGTTACTTTGGTGTGAGTATGTTAAAGTGCCAACCAAAAAAATCACAGACAACAACAAAACTTTGTTAATAAGCTGATAATAATATAACAGACGTACTGCATCTCTACTTTTCGGTACTACAATTTTTGTTATGATCCAAACTGCTAAATCATTGATGAACTGCTTCAAAACTAGACATTTGTCTGGAAAAGTCTTTCAACTGTCTTCTGGTATACACTCTTGATTTATCATTGTTCTTTGTTCTTTACATGCTGTAGTAAAATCCCTCTTAATTCAACCACTGTTTTCTTGTGACATATGGTTTGTTTTTAATTAAAATGTTTTATCCTAAAAACAGCCAAATTTTGATTGGCTGTTGACCTGTTTTCTTTGAATATCTAAAGAAGACATGTTGAAAAAAATTATTGAAGTGTTGTTGCAATAGAAACAGATAACATCTAATTTTCTGGTTTGTAAGTGTCATCAGGGCAAAGCAAAAAGTAATATAAGTTAGCAAAAAAAATACATTTAGATGGTCTGTGAGCTTTTAATAGTGCAAGTATGGATTATAACAGCATGTTTACTTTTTATTTACATTGACATTATCTTGATACTTCTAAAACTAAAAACTTAATTAATAGAAATAGTGGTAGTACCAATAATAAAATAAATATATAAATAAGTATACTGAAGGATGTAGTCATAAGCCATGATAAATACAATAGTCAGACTTATCTCAATAAGAACACTTAGCAACTCATTCCCATCCATGGTAGTTCAAAAGCAGATACCCTATTTAAGTGTCATAGACTGTCTGGAGGGGAATTGACTTCTTGGGTTGTAAATGGCCTTCTGGTCTTGAGATGGGACTGATATTAAGCTTGCTGCTTGTCAGTGCAGGGACTTGTGCATCATTGTCAATCTGGCAAGTCTCAGCCTTGTTTTAAAACTCTGCCTTCCCAGTTGCTGTCAGGCATATTTGATATAAACCTTCGTCTCTTTTATATGCAATACGTATTTGACCTTTTAGAGTAGAGTTTCTGTTGTATTTGAGGATTTTTCAAAAGTTACTGTGTTCTTCGCTTGTGTAGTTGTGCTTTTACTAAGATTTTTCTGAAATGTTTTACAGGGAAAATCACAGTGAGATTGAGAGAAGACGGAGGAATAAAATGAATGCGTACATCAATGAATTGTCTGATATGGTACCATCTTGCAATGGGTTGGCAAGAAAACCAGATAAACTCACTGTTTTGAGGATGGCTGTTAACTATATGAAATCACTGAGAGGATCTGGTATGTATCTGTTTTATAATGTTAATATTTTGAGATATGGCAAAATATTAATGTCAATGGCAAAACAATACAAATTATTTTGGCTTTGTCTTATTGTTCACATTATCATCTGTTACTCACAGTTCTTGAAAAGTTGTTTCACATTTGTAAACAGCTGAAGCATTAATGTTGCCCTACTTCAAGAATGATACATCTGCATTCCTATGGGTTTTCATGTATTTTTGTTTATTATTTATTATTAATTCCAGGTCAGACTCCTGATGTGTCTCACAAGCCATCATTTTTGTCTGATAAAGAACTGAAGCACCTCATTTTGGAGGTAAAAAATAAAAAAAAATGTGTAATGTGAAAAAGTGGCATGGGCATCAGGGTTTTTAACCAGGCCAGGCAGTGGGCTGTTTGACCAGCTGTTAATGTAACATAAATTCCCCCGTTTTTGGTCATAAATGTTTTTTACTCCAACCATTTTCCCCTGTGTATTAAAACCTTCATGTTCAATAGCGTAGTGAAACCATTGATGCATGTTCTAGATGAAGGTTTCAGAGTATGAGAAGAAAAACTCGCTATTTTTTTTCAGGTCTAAACAAACGTTTTTCCTTTATGAACAGTTACATGTTGTAGGTATATCTGTCGAACTAATAGGAGCACCTGAAATATTTTAGGAATGTTTATTGTGATATGACCAATCGCAGGGAAGATCGGGACGTGTAAACAAGCCACAAAACCACGAACTATTACAGATGCTATCAGCAGTTTTTTCCCGTGCTTGATTTGTCTCTTTAGTAGTTTTCTTGACTTTGTTTGGCGTGATGATTCAAAATCACATTCAACTTTGATTAGTTTATCTGCACACACCTTGGCAGCCATTGGGTTTGGGGAATTTAACAGATTGTTACAATGTATGTGTTTTAATGTTTGATTAATGTGTACTTTTTTTATTTTCAATCCTTTCAGGCAGCGGATGGATTTCTATTTGTGGTTAACTGCCGCACCGGAATTGTGGTTTATGTTTCGGACTCCATAACTCCCGTGTTAAACCAGCCTCAGGTATTGAAAAGTAACAATAGTATCATTAACTGGTTATCTTCCTCTCTTCACTCTTAGTTAGACAATTATGTAAGGTGATCACTCACTGAGGTTGGGTCAGTAGTCAAGGCTTTGGCTTACGAATGATGCTTGCTATGTAAAGAGATTACAGTGGAACTCCATCACTATGACTGCATTTTTCTGAGTCCCCAGTAGTTTGTATCTTTATGATTTGACCGGTTTAATTCCTGGTGGGAGCCAAACAGCCAATCTGTGAAACAGTAACTCTTTTGAGAAAGATGTTTATCCAGTCACAACCCTCCAAGTCAAAGTTTTTGATTGGTTGCCTGGTTTAGGGAGACTTTTTTTCAAATCAAGTCTTGTAGGCACCATGGTGACCAAAATGGTCACAACTTGGAGGGTTGAGTCAGTGACACAGGCTGCTTGGAAGAAAAAAATCTGAGTGCTCCCAGTAGGCTACAAACCTATGACCTTCTGGTTACTAGTCCAGATGCTCTACCACTGAGCTACAGGAGACTCATGGGAGCTAAGACCACTGAGTCATTAAGAGAAAAACACTTAGCACAAGCCATGACAGGTAATGACATGCAAACCTCAAGAGAAAGGCTGCAAAAACATGCGAACCATTGCAAAGCAATTAGAGCTCCCTGCTACATGAGACTGCTGGCTAGCCGTGTCTCGAGTTTGACTTAGCCTAATTTTCTTGTAGCCTCATTTCAGAGTCCTTAACTTAATGTTGGTAGTATTTAGTGGTAGTTTGGTGTTCCTGTACATCAGAGTTTGCAAATTTTATTTGTGGGTGGAGTTGGTGTGACTTCTGCTTCAGCCAAGTTTTGTACTCATTTTGAATATTTGGAGTCAAGTTACACAACAAAAAAAGCAATGTTAAACAAGAGTTAAAATAATAGAACACATGTGACAGCATTTGCTATTTCAGTGTGTAGTTCTGGCACGTATATACTCTATCATGCGGGAAACATGAAGTAGCCACAGCCTCATGTGAGAGTCCGCTGACCTCGAAAGACTTGAATCCATGATGATCATGGTTCAAGTGATCTCTATTGTAGTTTAGCCTCTACCTGTACACAAGTGAATAGTTCTTCAACTTAGGCTGTTTCAATCAAAGTGACTCCCTCCCTAACCTCACTGGAGTCATCTCAAAAATTTTGGTGTAAAATACGCCAAGTTTAGCATTTTTGTGAACCCTAGTCAGTGCCGGATCCAGACCTTGAGATAGGGGGTGAGGGGCGGTCATCCAGTCTCTTAGAAAGGTGGGGGGGGGGGGGGTCTCCAAAATTTTTTCAGCCCTTTGGGCCTCAGTTTGGTCTAAAAATAAGGGGGCGCTGGGCCCCCGGGGCCCCTCCCCGGGATCCCCCACTGCTGCGTTACATCCCACCTTTCTGTTGTATTCTTACTCTAGAGTGCATGGATGAATCGGGAGATTTATGTTTTAGTTCACCCAGATGATGCGGAGAAAATAAGAGATCAGCTGTCTGCAACCGAGTCCCCAGAGGCTGTAAAAATGTAGTTATTTGATTTATATATTTATAATAAATATAACAAGCAGAAAAGGAAAATTCTTTTATATGATTTAAAAAAAAAAAAGTAGTATTTAAAATTTATAGTGCGGGTATATTTTATGTGTTTAAGATACAAAGAGATAGTGAGGGGAAGGAAAAGATCCATGGCTTTGGTGGTAGGGGGGGGGGGGGGGGGGGGGTCTCCAAAATTTTTTCAGCCCTTTGGGCCTCAGTTTGGTCTAAAAATAAGGGGGCGCTGGGCCCCCGAGGCCCCTCCCCTGGATCCGCCACTGCTGCTGTACATCTCACCTTTCTGTTGTATTCTTACTCTAGAGTGCATGGATGAATCAGGAGATTTATGATTTAGTTCACCCAGATGATGCTGAGAAAATAAGAGATCAGCTGTCTGCAACCGAGTCCCCAGATGCTGGAAGAGTCTTGGACTTAAAAAGTAAGCTGTTTTATAAACAACTAAAAACTGAAGTGGATTGTGTTATTTTGATATTATAATATTAGGAGCAGTGTTCGTACCAGGGTTTTCAACACTGGAGTCCAGTGGACCCGTAGAGAAGCTAAAAGGGGGTCATGAGGGAGAAAAGCAGGTCACAAGGTTTAGATACAAATAACTCAACATTTTACAGCTCTGAGTTCAGAGTAAATACCTCATACTTTCTTAAATTGTAGATGTCCAATGTCCAATTTCTTTTAAGGAAATGTACGTATGTGCATGTATGTATCATGTGGATTGTAATAGGCTTTTTTTTCCATTCTTTGCGCCCTTGGGACCCCTTGGCTAATTATAGTGCGGCAATTTTCTGTTGTCATGTATTTGAAAGCTTTTTGTTTCAAGTACATGAAAGCAGTTTTCTTTATGGCGTGACTACTTTATGTATTATACAGTGTTTAATAGCACAGTAGACTGGTAATATTAAAGTTATTGTTTTCTTTTCCCTTGAAAGCTGGAAGTGTGAAAAAGGACAGCCATGGAGGTAAGAGTAAGTCTTGAAAAATGATATTTGTCCTTATGCATTATAGACTAAGTCCAAGGTTTTTGGCCTTTTTTTTTTAGGCCATTGTCCAGCCATCTTGACTTAAAAATCTTGGCCAAACCCAAACCCTGATGCAAAAATGGCTGCTTGATTAATATTCCTTTGTTCAAATTAAATTAGCCTGACTAGGCTCGTTCTTCAGTACAAAATTCAAAAGGATACATTACCTCAAGTGAGGCTAGTCAGGCTAATTTTAATTTAAACAAGAGAATATTAATCCACCAACCATTTTTGCACTGGGTCCATTACACAGCAGGGCTGGTCTCTAGCATTGCATGGTGGCCCTTGACGTCTTACTTTTGCTCTTGGGCCAAACTAGGTTGTCGTTGTTTTCACATAAAAATGATATGCTGGACACCCAGAAGTTCACAGGTTCAGAGCATTGGGCTCCATACAATTCATAGAATGCAATGTTGTATGGCCAACAATTACAATGGGAACATTGAAAGTAATCCTAAGCAAACATTGAGATCCATCTTGCCCCCTCAGGTAGCCAATCAGACCACAAAATTCACTTTAACTTACCTGCTCGCAAAGCCAGCCATGTAATACATTTAAAATAATGTTAGTTTCGTTTTCTTGAACACTTTGAAGGGGTACTGTCATGAAATAAGACAAACCCTATGTAATATTAATTGCAAGAATTGAACATTATTGTAATGTTCTTGATAAGATGACGTGGGTAACATAAAAAGATTCAAGAGCTGACCTATCAAGGGGTAACCTTTTGTCAAAGTGTAATTGTTTAAGCATTGCTGAACTCAGTTCAAAGACGCCAATTGGAATAATTATAATGATTTGTGGATTCCTTTTGCTATTTAGCTCTGTCCAGAATGTATTCCAACTCCAGAAGAAATTTTATCTGCCGCATGAGATGTGGTCAAGAAGAGGGTGAGACCACAACAAGAGGGAAGGACAATCGTCTAAAGCTTCTGGATGATGAATATGCCATTGTGCATTGCACTGGTTACATCAAGGTAACATTATTTCTACCCCGTGGCTCCTAAGAATGCCCCAGTCCAAAGTAAGCAGTTTGCATTCTTAAATCGACCAATAAAACTGTCAGTGTTCTCCTTATCAGGCGGTAACCAGTACAATTTACTGCCTGAAGCAATACTTCTAACTTCCTGCAACCACTTGAAGGTTTACTAAAATTAAATAAGTGCTTTTAAAAATACGCAAGTTGTGATCCCATTCAATCCTCACAGGGAAATGAGTACTGTATTTCCTCGAGTAACAGCTGTCCCTCAATTAATCGCCTCCCTTGTGTAATTGCCTCCCTTTGATGGAAATATTTAAAATAATTGCCTCCCCCAGCTCCCTCAACATCTCCTCTTTCTCCTCTCAAGTTAAAAATTGTCACAAACTCTTTTCATGTAATTGTTTATAATGGCATTGAAAATTAATCAAGGAGCCAAATTTGCAACACTGAAAAAGCCCATGTTCAGTTTATTGATGTGATTATTTTTCAATTTACTGGGATAATGAAACATGAAATAATCGCCAAAAGGTTTCCATTTTGAGGTCGCCTCGCAGCATTGGAGTGCAACCCTGATTTTACTACAGTGGAATTCTGATTTTTCAAACCACCTTGGGAAAAGCAAATTAGTTTGAATAATCAAGAGGTTTGAAAAACATGGGTAAAATTACAGTGTTTGACTGGTGAAGGGAAGGTAGGCTTGGTTTGAATTATAAGGAATTTCAAAAAAAACAGAGTGTTTGAGAAATAAGGATTCTACTGTCAAAGTTAACTTTTGTTGTCGCTCACAACATTCTGTGCATTGACAGAGTTTTGGAAATAACTCGGCTGTTGGTGGCCCCGGAGGTGATACTGATCATAGTGAAGCAAGTTGTCTTGTAACTATCGGAAAACTTCAGCCAACAAGCGTTCCTCAGGCTAGTGACTTGGTCAGTTACCCACCTGTGACAGAGTTTGTCTCCAGACACAGCTTGGATGGAAAGTTTACTTTTGTGGATCAGAGGTAGTTATGGGTTGATTGTACAAACATAATCGTACAGTTAAGGGTAGGGTGCAGAGAAAGATGTGTTTGATAGCTTGGAGCTAGTGGATTTTGCTATCAGGCAAGTGAATTCTGTTCTTAACTTCCCCAACAGCCAAGTAAAGGTTTTGGGGGAATCAAATTACAGAAGAACTCTAATAAATCCTGCCCATCCAAAAAAATTTTTTTTCAGGCTTATTAAAATGATTCTTGGGCTTGTACATGCTAGCTACAGCTTGCTCGAATGACAAGCGTATTGACTTTCTTTGCACGCTAAAAGGGGCAAATGGGCCAAAGATGGCCCACAATGCTGACTTGCTAGAGCTTGTCCCTTTCTCTTTAGCAGTAAGTGCCTAGGAGTACTGGTCCTCTGGTAACCAATGATATACACCCAAGGCCAGTTATTAAAACAGAGTTGAAAACAGTTCAACAATACCCTGCTCACAGGTTTTTAAATTTGGCCAATCCTCGCTTGAAAAAAATGTTTGCAGTTGTCATTGACAAGGCTGACATAAGTATTATTTATCTTTTTAAGTCGACACCTTACAAAAAGATTTGGAGGCCTAAGAACCCCCGCAGGTCTTAGAGATTGTTTAAATAATTGCCTGCCTCTATCTTCTCCCAGCTGTAGTGTACATTGTATGTGCATGTTGTGAAACTAATGGAAACTGTAAAACAAGTAACGTGGCATCACAAACACTATCTTGGTACCATGACACAAACAAGAGTTCCTCCACATAAATTTTGTGGATTCCTATCTTCAGTATCAGCTTTTCTTGAACTCTGTGTTACATGAGTTTAGTTCAAAGAGGTGACTTCAGTCCTGTGTTTGCAGTACTTGTACAATGTTAGAGGCAAGCTTTGGTTTTGTCAGTTTGATAGAGTTAAACTAATAATAGCTGTTTTTTTGTCTGTCTTAAGAGTTACAGAGGTATTGGGGTATAAACCTCAAGATCTACTCAATGAGCTCTGTTACGACTTCTTCCATCCTGATGATTTGGAACATATGATGGAAAGCTATCAGCAAGGTTTGAGCATTCTTTTCTATTGAAAGTCATTGATATTTGCATATATTTGACTGTTTTAACATTGAGAAATTTAAGGTATAAAAAGGAAAGGTTGTAATCTTCCAAGAGTATAAAAGGTAGCCATAAGCCTGCCATGAGCCAATGGGCCTCACACCAGCAACAGTGTTAAACATCAATAATATTAAAATCACTGGTTTATGGGGCAATATTTTTTGGCTACTTTTTGAATCCTTCTTCTTGCTACAAATTATGAACTGAAGGACACAGTTAATGGAGTTGGCCAGAAAGGTGTGATGTTGAAGGCTGTGTAATTGGCTGGATGTTAAATGTAATATTAATATTATTGCCCTCAAGTTCCAGGCTTGGTTGGGATCTTTAAGCCCCAAGATCCACATACAAATTAGGCAGACTGATTTCCATACATTTCTTTTAAGAACAGTTAAGAGAATTTGGTTTAAGATCAAAGTATTCTCCCTTTGGTGATCAATTTAGTAATTCTCATAACCTTTACTCTTGATGATCTGCTGATGTTGTTAGGAGAAAAATTGATTTGTGTAGAATCAATCACCGCCTAAACTGCAAGCAATTTCTTATTTTTCTTTTGAGTCACAGTAGGTCAAGAGCATAATTTTTCTTTCTCACTCCCAGTAGCAGTCTACATTGCTCATAAACATTACTACATCTGGCATCAACTGTTATAGTATAATAAAGACTGTACTATTGTAAGATGACAATAATTGCAGCTGAAATAATTCTGTTGGCATTACATTGAAACCTGTATTAACGGACCCCATATTAAGCAGAGTTCCTCTATTAATTGGACAAATGGTTCAGTATGTTTCAAATGGTTATTGTCATATTTTAAGTAAAACAAACCTGTATTTAGCAGACACCATTATTAAGTGGACACTAGCAAAGGTCCCTTGGGCGTCGGCCGCCTTATACAGTTTCACTGTATTGTTCAAATGACTGTCTCTGTCCAAGCAGTATGGAATGAGTATTTTTTTAAATCTATTCATTGGAATTTTGAAAATTGGGTACCTTAGCTCATATTACCTTTGAATTTTGTTTTCAGTGTAAATATTATAGTGTTTTTTGTTTCAGTGATGAAACTGAAGGGCCAAACACTGTCTGTGAGGTACCGATTCCGTGCCAAGGATGGGAACTGGGTGTGGCTTAGAACAAGCTGCCACAGCTTTCAGAATCCATACACTGATGAAGCTGAGTACATCGTTTGCTCAAACTGCATGGTACCAAGGTACATGTCTTGAAAAATTTGGGGTGAAACACTTCACCCAATTTTTGGTTGAAAGTTGATTGGCAAGGTATTTTTGACTTAATGTATCCTAAGTGAGCACTTACATGTATGCCATGTATATGTGTACAGTTAATGGCACAAAATATTAAAATTGCTGCCTTAACATGTCGAAGGATAATACCCATTATTTGAACCATCTTAAATAGGTACTTTCAGAGCACATTGAAAAAGTTGATGGAGTACAGAATCATCCCAAAAATGTTTTTCTCAGTACAAATGCGCCCAATCATTGGACTCTGCAGTCTCCAACAAGCTTGCTTGTCATTGTTAGATAACATAAAAATGACCAACCAGAAGTGGTTTTTCTCAACAGCTCCCTTACAGGCCTTCTGTATTAATTTAAACTTCATTTTGTCTTTTGGTGAAAATGCATGGGGGCTTTTGCTATATGCATTCTTCTCCTTTTGAGGACAACTTGAATTATTCTGTTCACTAAGAGTACTGTTTTGATTATTTGCGGCATCTCAGTAAAGCTATGTGCAAATGGACACAACAACTCCCAACAGTGTTGGGACTTGCAGTGCATAGTGGAAAGGATACAACTCATAAGACTTTGTAAACCATGTGTAATGCCCTGGTGTGGCCCCAACAATTTTGGAAGAGCTGTGCAAACAGATCCAACATATCTGTGCTATGCTTTGGAAATCACGGAACAAACAAAATGTTAGGAGTTGTTGGCTCAAAATTTTGACCAGTTTCAAACTTTGCGCAACAACTCCCAACAACATGCAACAGGGTGTGTAAACGGAGGCAACATGTAGCATCCAACAATTTTGGGAGTTGTTGGCCAACAATGTTGCACCTGTTTGCACAGTGCTTTAAGAGGCCAAACATAAGTCTTCCAGGTTTTGAAGGCAATACTCACTTTCCTATTTATCTAACTGTAGTAACAATAGCATGCAGCCAGTCACCCTGAATCTATCAAGTCCCACAATAAACTCATCTCGCAGTGGACCTCTGACTGGCAGTACAGATTACTCTGATATCTCACCGCACCCAGACTTGACAAATCCTGATTCCACAGCTGCCTCGCTGTATCAGAGACACCCACAACTTATGGCTGGGCGAGAAGATGGCATGTGTCACTTCTCTCCTACTGGGGCAGTTCAAAAAGGTTAGAAAATGCCTTAAAATGTTAAAACTAATCAGGACTATACAATACTAAGATATGACTTCTACAGGTAAAAGCTAAGAAAAAGTTAATCTTAAGATATGGACTATATACAGTTACAGTGAATATGAAGCCACAAAGTTTTGCTTGTCTTTGTTTACTGGGAGGTGGGAACTTAATTTGCCACAAAATCATTAAGATATTTTTTCCAAAATTCAAGAAGAATAAAAATATTATGTCATCATTGTGCTGAAACACACGCAAAGCTCTTACTAAGTTCTGTCAATTTATCCAAATTATTCAATTTCTTTGCAACTGATTTGGTAAATACTAAAACAACTCTTCCTCTCTGGCTAGTCGAACCTCTCTTGTACAGACACCGAAGGGACAGAGAGAAGTGTCCACATTAATTAGGTGACTGTATTTTAGAGACTTCATCAAGACTCCAATGACAGTTTTAAGTGTTCGTAACTAAAAACAGACCACATATGTGTCTTAATTGTGTCTAAACTGATGAATATAAAGAAAAGAGCAAGAAAAAAGACTAGTCTGTCAATGAAATGGTCCACTTTGTGAGCACCAGGGCCTGGAACTTCTACTCCGTGCTTAAAAATTGCTTATGCTATCTTAATTTTTGCAACAAAGGACTACATCTGATAATTTGGATCTCATTATTTATTTCTGTTTGTTTTAGTATCACCACGGATTGGAGAAGCAGGTTTGGAAGCCCTCTCTAAGGTATGAACCTCTCCAGTTTAATTTACAGCATTGCCAGTGTGTGGTGTCAGTGGTGCAAATTCCCTAAAGTGATGAACTGTCCTTTACGATGCCAGAAGAGCTGTCATTAAGATTTGAAGCAGCTGTAGCAAATGAAGTGTCCACTGTAACATCTCCCAAAAATTTATTGTGTGATCTTTAGTTTGAGGTGTTGGGGGTTATAGCCCCTATTAGGAAGCTTAAGCAATGATGATGGCGGCGGCAACAAGGAAGGCAAAAAAGCAAGAGGATCAGATTGGCAAAATAACAACTTTGCACATGCATCATGCTTTTTTGCACTTTTCTTAGCCATCATTGCACGACTACAATGCCTAGTTTCACGTTTTGTCAAGGACGGGAACACAATACAACAACTTTCTTTTTCTTTTCCTGAACTTTTCTACAGTCCTTTGGAATTTAACTCCAAGAAAAATTTTCCAACATTTGACAAATTAAACTAGATGAAATAAGCAGGATAAATTTTGAGGCAGTGTGAATTTGCTTTGTAAGTGAAGTTTTTATAGCCGTCACCGTCTTTGTTGCTGTTAAAAGCTCCCTAATGACAGCTCTGGCTTGTGCCCACTTCTGGAGAACTTTTCCCTTTAAAAAGACTACACCATGGAGTATGACTTACCCTTGGTGATTTGAGAAACAAAAAATAGGCTTTTCTTTGACAATATTTCCACCTACAGAAACACAAGGTCTTAATCGATCATACCCCTCAAAAGTAACTGCCACCACCTCAGGAAATTAGGAAGTTATCAACAATTACTTGACGTATACTATGGTCACTTTAAACCATCTGGCTCTCGCAAGCAAACAGTTTGAAATACTCGCTGTTGATTTCTGGAGTATTTCTGATTAATGTCATGTGCTTTTAGGCGAGTGAGCTCAGTGACAAGAGAGGAAACACTTCACCAAACACTTCAGTCACTCAAGTACCACAAAAACCTGACCCCACCCTTGTGAGTCCAGTTCCTCCCGGCAGTGGCACTGCTACACAAAGACTAGGAACAGGAATGCTTCAACACAGCATGGACCAAAATAGTGGTAATAACGGACAATAATTTTGTATGTGTGTAGATTTTTTTTCTGTGAAGACTTAATAAGTCGACCTTTTATCGTCATGCAGTTTACCGAGATGACCAATCAGAGGTAATGCCATTATTTTTTTCATTAAAGCTGAATTACAGAATGTTTGAATTAGTTCCACTAGGGTAACTTTGGAAAATTAAACAAGCATTCCCTGTACTAATTTATGCATTTTCTCAATCCAACATGCAGTTCCCAAAAGTTTCCAATTTGGATTCTGTTAGGTTTTAACTTCATACACTTGTACAGGGAATCACACTTAAGAAACCTCCTTCTGATCTTAAAATATCTGTAAAATGGGTTAGACAATATCTGTTGATGAGTGTTATTAATTACAATGCTGCAAAATAATTTGTTAAAGCAAAAACTTCCTTTGTTTTCAGTCGACCTGGATAATCAAGAGTTTTCAGCTGGCCAGGCAGGTAGTCTTCTAGCAGCTTTGGTGCAAAGACGACAAGCAATGATAAATGCTGCTCATAGTCAGTCTCCACAAGGAGGCTACAGCCTAATGAATGGTGGAATGGGCTCCATGTTACAAGCTGGCATGCCCGGCCAGCAGCGTCCCATGGGTTCTATGACCCCCATGGACCTGCTGAGAGCACAGATGCCACGCACCATGGGGGAGATTAGCTCCAGTGGAATGATGGGCTACACTACCACTATAACGACAAGAAATGGTCAGACTGGAGGTAACGCCTCAGTGGTTGCTACCCAGAGTATGGGAGGTCGAGATATGATGCCAGGTGCTTGGCCTCACCAGGGTGTCATGCAGAGGCCTGTCAGAGATGCTGAGATAAAACCACCACAAACGTCAACACTTCCTTCCCAAGTAGAATCAACAGCCCCACCAGGAATGTACAGTGGCATGAGACCAGGCACAGGACCAGCAAACGGCCGAGGGCCAGCACAAGGCTTTCCTAGTTATTACCAGTAGCACAGAACATTCTTTATATCGAGCATTGTTTGGTATTTCAAACATAGAGATCCATTGTAACAACAGGACTTAACTTCTGGAAAGTTTGTACATCTATACGGGGGTGAAACGTCAGAAATCTGGTCTGTAAAATGCAGCTGACGTCTTCTGTGAAGGGTTTTGTTCCAAGCAGAAGGAAAGCTCTAACAAAGAAACGTTACATTACTATAGAACATCAATGTTCCTGTATCGTATACATGAGAATCCTTTTAATGTAACTAATGTTATTACACCATAAGGTTTTTAACCGTGATACGGTGTTCTCTGTAATCATTGGTGTGTTTTAATACAGGTGAGGTCATTATTGATAAGAACTTCAGGTAGGGTAGGTCGTGTCTTCTTTCCCTTGTAAATTACCAGCCATGTGAAAATCCTAAGAAACTCACTTGGTGCATTTTGCAGCACTGGTAGCAGATTTGTGATTACTTATTTCTGATGTCCATTCAAGGTCTGTTTTTTTTCTTGTAGTACAATAATCTACCATTGGTGGTTTTTTTTCTTATGCATGCCTTAGATAGTCGTAGGGGGTTAGAGCATATGTAGCAGATTTTTACTGATTTGTCTCTAGTTTTCTCTTTGGTCCTCTTTGTTGCCTCACATGAACAATCAATGTACTGTTGGTAATTGTTGTTGTTTTTAATGGTTAGAGAGGTTATTATCCAGTGCTGTAACTACTGCCCAAACAGTGCAAAATCATGCTTCCTAAGAGGGTTTTGGTTTGAGACTGCCACCAGACAAAGTTAGTGATTCTAAAATGTGTTTCAAATTTAAAAGGCAGGTGGTCTTCAGGGCTTCACGACTAAAAAGTAAAACTTTTTGAAACAGGTTATTGAGATGTGGTGGAGACAATAGTAGAGACAATCCATCTTTCATCCATCCTAGAAAGTCACTAACTGGCTGTGGTTTTGCAGCAACCTAAACTTATAACAGTTTCCACATTGGAAAATTCAGCAAGTTTTTCTTTATGTCATGGGTCCTTTTATCAGTTTTGCATCTTTGCATTGAAGAAGGACAGGAAACAATTACGATTATTTAGAATGGTTTTATCATGGGATAAAACTGACTACTTTAGTTTTCCAGATACTTGCAAAGTTGGCGTAATAAGTGAAAACGAAGTAGTGAAAAATATGATCTTTGAAAATAAATATTTTGCTTACTTATTTACTTACGAAAGCCTTTGCACCTATTAGTACTTAGGGAATACTCGATGATGCATGTATGTAGTATATAAGACACTCTATATCCTTTGTTTGTGATTTACAAACGTCTGTGGTGGAAGGTTAGACATGCTCAACTTATTTTTTATGGCAAAATATCTTCAAAAAGAAAGAAAAACGTTCGTGCTGTTACATAAATCATTATATAGAAAAAGGTATCATACTAAAGGAACCTACATACTATTGCAAAACTAATAATTACCCTTTAATGATCATTAGTAAGATGCTCACAGGTTACTATAACACAGCTTCTATAGTGGCCTTCAATATACCAAGGGACATATACAGCTGTTTCCAAATACAATTTTTAATTTTCCCTGTTATGTTAACTTTGGTATAATTTTTATCATTTGTATTTGTACACTCCATTACAGCCGCTGTTTCCCTTCTTTAGCGATAAATCATCGGTTGTTGGCAGAGGGGATTTGTCTTTGTGACAGATAAGCTACCATTGAAACTGAAAAGTTACTGTACCATAATCCAGGAAACTTATGGGACATAATTTCGTATTGCACAGGCTAGAATGTGTTATCCCAGAGGCACTGTGTTTTAGCTTTTAATTAGGTACATGTAGATAAATGGTGGTGTAATAACTTAAATAAATCATTTGATGATCAAGCCTTGTGAGTATTAATGTGGTGAGTGAAAGTAGGGTGGGAAGGGGGTTTCTTTTTCGATCTTGTAGCATTGACTAAGACTTGGAAACAAAAGGATTTTGATGCTGAAATCTTAAGTTAAACAGTGTTTCACAAAAGTTAGCAAGTTTTAACAGGCCCTTTGAAACTTTACAGTCACCCTCTTAAACGTGCTTATTCCAAAATGTCAGCATCAGAAATAGCTTCCTTGGCAGGCAACCCCAGCTTGTCTTCTTTTAATTTTATATACACTTTAGCTCTTTCTTTTAAGCCTCAACAGTGATCAGCATCAAGTTTCTCCTAACAATATCACTGCCATATCAAATGAATGACTGGAATGATCAACATTGATAAAATGTCTTGGATGTTTGAACAGATAGAACAGCGAGGAGAATATAATTATATGTTAATATTGGGGCTTAAAGGGTCAAAATGAGTCTTGAGGCATAAAAAAGAGTAAGTTTCACTTCTTAAATTACAGCTCTCCTAAAAAACCTTCCACTGAAATGAGCCTGGGTACCTATCTGGGATAGCCTGCGAGCAAGCTCTCTATTTGGGGAGTCACAAGAAGTCACGCGAGAGCAGCATACAAAAGAAAACGCAAGTGTGAGGGGCAGCTTTGGGACTCACTTGTGTGTTCTCTCACAGCTCGCTACGCTCACCATAAATGGAGAGCTTGCTTGCAGGCTACTCTGGGAGGATCTATTTGAAGTCAGATTATCTTTACAGATCCACAAAATAACTAATGAGGCTGCCCCTTTTAGAGATCCAGGTACTGTGAACTTGTACTGTGAGTAGGTGAGCTAGAGTTTTGATTTAATACCCTCAAACCAAAGCAATGGTCAAAGCATTAAATTTGACAACTTGTATATTTTTAGAATGCAAAAAATAATAATTCTATTTTACAAAAGGGAAATAATTTACACTGCTCAACAACTTGCCATATGAAAAATAGTTTGACTTGAGATTAAAAAAAAGACTTTTCCTGTCTAATCTTATATAATATATTAAACATAACATTGCTTTCATTTAGGCATACACAACTAGTGCATTAATGGGAATTATTTAATAGTCACAAGTAGTAGTACAAGGAATGTCAACATTTGTAAAAGTTCATATCATGTCCTCCAAAAAATTTGCTGTAACCAAAGAATTATCAATGACCAAGATAAAAAAAAATTATTATTCTCACCAAAAAATTATATACTGTGTATTTCATGCCTGGGTTTCTTATGGGCATATTAATTCAGTATCTGTTACTATAATAAAAAGTATTATCATTCAAAGCAAATTTTTCTTTCTTTTTATTGGCTGAGAGCCCACCACGTGACCTGCAAATAACTGCCTACAAATAATGGTCTGCTGATGCGCAATGCCATCCAACCGTGTTTGGCTGCAAATAATATTCTGCAGATGCGTAAAGGAAACTGTGCTTTTCTCCTTCTTGTGATTGCTCTTGCGTGAAAATGGCAGATCGCTTCACTTCCCGAGGATATTCATTGAAAAAACAAACTCGGTGATTGAATGATAAAACAATTATTGAACTCGGTTATCGCAAAATATCGCGATTTGTCAGTGTCTCGCAGATCAATTATTTGCCTCAGCCTTTGGCTTCGGTTATTCATCTACTCGCCACAGACAAATCACGATATTTTGCTCAACCTCGTCCAATAATTGTTAATTATTTTGTAATAATAATTTTAAGTTCCTTATAGGTTATAATATTATTACGTTTCATCTTTTTATTTGGGAAACATTGTAGGCATCCTCAGAGACCCAGGGGCGGTCAGTTGGGTTGGGAAAAACGGCCTCACCAGCCCTACTGAATGCCCCAAGGTGTCTGAGGATGCATTTCCAGTTTCCTTTTTGAAGAAAGAAGGTGTCTCCATAATTTTGTTTTTCCACTATCTTGAATATTTATAAAAGTATTAGGCCATTGTCAAACAAAGAAAACTGCCAACATCTAAAATACATGTCTCTCTTGAATGTTACTGTGTTACCAGGAAAAAGTGCACCACTCAGAGCAAGACAGTGGTTTATGATTGTCTTGGATCTCCAAAGTCAGTGCAGTCACAAAAAAAAATTCTGCAAAAAGTTCTCAAAATACTTCATCTTTTCATAGTTAGACAGTGACAAAATTTCATGGGCCTGACCAAGGATGAACGTTAAAGCAAAATAATTGAAGCTCTTATATAATATGGTTCTATCATGGTTTCCGACCCGTAAGTTGTTACAATCTTATCAGGAGTCTTCGTAAACAATATAGCCTTTTTCAATTAATAATAAATTTCAACATCTGTGTCTCATTCAAGATATAATGTTGCTTGTGTCATCTGTGGTTGTCTTGATTGCCTCAATGTACTTTCTCATCTTTTCTAAACTGTTGTGATGTGTCAGGGGTTGTGAAAAGTTTAAATACCCAGAAACCCTGATTATAGAGTTAAGGAGGAGTTCACATTAAACTTACAAAGAATTAATGGATATAAAATATTAACTGGCAAGTAAAACACTTCAAATTCCAAAGATGATCAGGCATGATGTCATGTACTAACCTTGTATGTGAGAAATTGAAAATATTATAAAGTGTACAAGAGGTCCTGCAGTTTCCATTAGCTGTGACTTGGAGCAGATGCAAGTTAATGAGGCCCTGAGGCCCTCTTTGGGGGGTGGGGGGGGGGGGGGGGGGTTTGAGGGGTCGTGGATTTTTTTTGGGTGTTATTTTTTTTCCCACAATATCAACCAAAGGCAGGCAAAAACTCAACATTTGAAACCCCGGGTGTTTCCCCCCCCCCCCCCCCCCCCCACACACACACACACACACACTCCCCAAGGGAGGCGAGTGCTCTTGTTGTAGGCCCTGTCCACACTAATGGGTATTCAAAAGTTTGCGTTTTCGTTGTCATCGATCGATTGGTGTCCACACTTCCATTTTGATGCGTTTTCGACTGTCCACACTAAACGTTAGAAAACGATCGAATTGCACTTTGTGACGTAAGTTGAACTCTGTGCGCACGCTATAAACACACGCGCCTGCAACGTTTTCGACCGCCCACTAGTACAATATGTATGCGCTTTCGTTTTGATCCACCTTCAAGAGCGTTTTCACATCGATGAGTTTTCGATGAAAACCGTGAGCGTATTATTGTAGACGGAAGGCCTATTAAAACGGATCGAAATGCATGCGTTTCCAAACGAAAACGCCTTAGTGTGTACCCTGCGCATAACAATCCCGCCAGCTAATCAGACTGCTATCAAGAAGTATTAAACAGTCCTACAGTTGTTTGTCCTTCCTGCTTTTAATTGGCCAGCTCGTAAATGCGGAGATGTTTAGTTGCAAAGCAGTTCAAACATCAAACTACGGTACAACGATTCCTGGCAGCCATGCGGCAATGAAGTGTTACGTGTTAAATGAACACCATCGTTCCCTATTTTAGTAAAGAGGATTTGAAAGCTTTTAATTCTCTTTGGTCCATTATTTTGTGTGTTCGTTATAGAATACCCTGCGCTCGGTGTGGTGAGCTCTCTTTTTTCAAAAATAGCGTCAGTTAAAATTTCGTGACGAGCCATTCGTACATGAAACGTAATGTTGACCGCTTTTAAGCCACTCTTGATGAAGTACAAAATTCGGTGGCAAGCCCATCACATGTGCAGTCTGTACAACATGTAAACTTTGTACCTTATATTAGAAATCGCACCCAAATCACTGAATACAGCAAGACCTTATTCATTGCTCTCTGCATATACGAGTTAAAAACCAATGCCTGCAGAGATAGCAAGATAGCAAACTTTGATCGCTATGCTTGTACAGTCTTTTATTGTTTTGATTGCACATGTAGCTTGCGAAAACAGCCGTTTCTCCTCGCTCTTTGCAGCAGAGGACGTTTCGCGAGGATAACGTCGTTCCTCCGCGGAATATGTCCCTAGCGGCGAAGAAGGGGGAGAAACTGCTGTTTTGCCAGGCTATTGCACATGTAGATCTACCCTGGGTACCAGAGGTTTTCTCTCGCGTGAGGCGATTGAGTGCGGACATAAGAGATGCTTCGGGGTCGGCCCGGCCGGAGACACGAAAAAGGACTTGACCGAAACCGGAAACCGCACATGAAAAGTCACTGGTACCCAGGGATCTTAATCTGTAGTACCGTAATATAGATATTCATAACAAGAAAAATACTCTTGAATATTTGTAGGTCAAACGCCCCGGAAGGTGGGATGAGAATCCAGACAAAGCAATCCTGGAGATGGCAGGTGTAACTACAAGTCACAGTCAAAGATAGCAGCTTCAGTGCATCATTTTTTTTCGCTGACGAGGAAACATCGCATTGGGAATGTTTCGTCCTGCTCACTGTTAATTTCTTTTAAGTAATGAATACTGGAACTCCTGCTGAATCTTGATAAAATGGACAGAGTATTCAGAGGTTCTTCAGTTCCTCAAGAGATTTAAGTTTAATCAAGAAAACCTAGGGGTGAAGCTTTATGCTCCCTTAGTTAAATCCAAACCAAAGAGCCGACTTTTTTGGATAGCAAGGGCGTATGTGTGACTGACTGGCAATTCGTAAATTTCACCCTATATTTACTGGGTTAGTCATGTATGCGGTGCCCGCTACCCGCAGCTTAGAAGCAGGAAAACAATTCTACAGCAATCACTCCTCGTTCCTCGCCGCTAGGGACGTTTCGCTGGAGAGCAGTCACTCGGCGATTTGGCCCCAAAACCTTGTACTGCTGACGTTTTTTTGTCCGGAATCTGGTCAACGAGTACTGAGAAGAAATAGCCACGCGCGCGACTAAGGGCGCGAGACGGGAGTTGAAGAAAAATTCTTGTCGCAGTCTAAAAATTCAAGGTAGGAAAAGACACGACAAGATAATTTATTTAACTCAGCTCAGTTTTATAGATGATACAGATATTAAATAACAACAATAGTGATATGTAAATGGAGAGTCATGAGTGATGGGCTCCTGAATGAGTGAGTTTTGATCATCGTATATAAAAGGCTAATGTAGTGGAATAACCCAATAAAAGACAATTTTTCACAGCACTGAAAAGACGTTCTCTACGTTTAATTTATTTCTTCATGCGCTAAGGTAGATAACTAATAGGCCATTTTCGAGTTCTCCCAGGCCTCTGTTTCAAAACGAGGGTAGGTGCTCAGCCTTTGATATGGAAATCATTTTTCATTCTCATGCAAATAAAACTCATTTTCACAAGAAAGGTTGTGCACCTAGCCTCATTTTGAAAGTGAGAGTTTTTGGAACTCGTGGGGGGGGGGGGGGGGGGGGGGGGGGTATGTATTGCCCTAGTCTGAATTTCAAATACGGCCATTTTGCATTCTGTGGCCATGTCCCTGCCGATATTTTCTGAACACAGTTTTGCGGGTGGTCAGCGGTAACTCACGTGATGGTGCGTGTTTTAAAATAATTAGACAAACAAACATGGCTTTTCGAAAAAGCAATGGTACACAGAAGATGATTTCTCAAAATCTTTGCGTGTGTGCAGACGTCTCCAATTACACCTCATAGTAGCTTAAATCTTTTTAAAAACGTGTGAAAGATCATGAAGATAGCTCCAGCCGATTGCTAGAAAGAAGGATTTGATTAGTGTGTATTGAGGCGCTCTTGTTAGCAGTTTTGTAAATATTTCGGTCTACTTTAACAAATCAGCAAATAATTTTTAAACCACTCGAAAGATTTTTTAAAAAAATTTGAGGTTCTCGGGATTAAACATTTTAATCAAGACCTTTGAGTCTCAAGATTATTGATATATTGTAAGGTGGTAAAATAAGGGTTACAATTTGCTAATTTTTTATTGGAAGTTTTGTGTTTTCAAGTGAAAGCCTCTCGGTATTCAAGGGTATTGTCTCCAAGTTTCATTTTCACGTGAACAGCAGTAACTAACAATGCATTTAAATATGCAAAAATGCTAGCTATTGTTGTGCACGAAAATATGAAACTTGGAGACAATACCCCTGAATAATGAGAGTCTCTCACTCTCCGTAAACACAAAATTTCTGACAAAATATTAGCAAATTGTAACCCTCATTTTACTGCCTTACAATATATCAATAATCTTGAAACTAAAAGGTCATATGTATAAAAGGACGGTTAACCTCAAGAATCTCAAATTTTTAAAAAATACCAACCAGTGGTTTAAAAAGTATTTGCTAATTTGTTAAAGTAGACTGAATTGTTACAAAACAGCTTACAAGAGTGCCTCAATGCGTACTAATCAAATCCTTCTTTCTAGCAATCGGCTGGAGCTATCTCTATGATCTTTCACACATTTTTAAAAGATTTAATCTACTAAGAGGTGGAATTGCAAATTGCATGTCAAAAGCACTTTGTTTTCTACAGATAGCGGCCAAACATCAAGATTGTCTTTTTTTTACCCTACCGTATATCTTCTATTAAGCCCCCTGGGGGGCTTATTTATTTCAAGCCCATTTGAGGGAGGGCTTAATATAGACGGGGGGCTTATTTGATTTAGAAACAACAATGGTATCAGTTCTCCATAAAGAACTGGAATACAAAGTGGAAAAGCTCAAGTACAAGATGTTTTAGGTCATGCAGCCAAGGATCAGAATCAAATCCGAACTTCCAGTTGGTAAACAAACCATCTCGGATCAGTCTACACAAAGTTTTACAGTCATGATTTCTTAATACAGTCTATCATTTAGTAGTGAAGAATAATTAGGAGAGGGAAGGGGAGGGAAGGGGGCTTAATAGAGGATTTATGGTTTTTCTCACCATAAAAACTTCATCCCAAAATATCTCGATAACGCTCTTACAGATTTTGCTTAAACTTCATGAACATCCAATCGAGGCACCTATTGCAGGAAAAGGATCCCGTGAACAATTTTGGAAGAACAGTTCCCAGTGCCAGGAAATACTGCCGCAAGTAAAATAGGTAATGGTGTCATTTCGTTTCTATGACAACTCCGATGTCATTGCAACCCTGATCATCACAAATTGTCATCTTTATATGATACGTATACTGTGTGGCAATTTTTCCAAATCTTTGTTTATGGCGACGTAGCTTATGTTCAAACTTGGGAGGTGTTGACCCTGAAAAACTGTATCGAGCCACCTTAAATCAATCGTTCAGGCAAACCCTGCTGACAGACTCACACAAAATTATATTCCCTGTCTAGGACAGAGAGGTGAAAACCCATACCCTGTCCAGCAGTACATTCCCATATAGGCCATATAAGGGAGTACCTTCCAACTATAAGTCTGAAGGCAAATTTCCCTCCGTAGATTAGCCCCTCAAAAAGGGCCTTTGCAAAACATAAGCCCCGGGGCTTATTTTCGGAATTTTACGGTATTTATTTAATTAAGGGTGGAAAAATAAGCTTAATATTAGGATACAAAGGCTGCTACATGAAGGCAAACCATGAAACAGACTCCGTAAATGATAAGAGTTGGGTATTGTTCTCCTGATGATGAAGTCATATCTACAGGGCCTGCAGAGTTGAAAATAAAATTAATAAACAGAAAAATATGAAACTTGCAGGGTGTAAGGTGTTGAATTTGACATTCAGTGTGAAATGTGGATCGGTGAGGTCTGTCGCACAAGTACAGCAGACAAGACTAACCGTAGTGCGACAACCAAGTGGAAAAAAAAAAAATGTTTTATTTACCTTAGCTTAGTAAAATTGTGTTTGCAAGACCTTTTCCGCCACATAAAATTCTTCCAGATTGTAACAATTCCACTCGTCCCGTCACTCATTCCAACAAATAAGCCGACGTTCTACGTGAGAGACTATGAACGAACTTTTCTCAGCTCTTGTATGATTGGTCGATTGGTCACAAAATTTGCATGTTTCTGAAGAAATAGTACATATAATTTTATTGGTCAAAATCACATGTCGTCATGAATGATGTCATGAATAATTTTATGGTCTTTAGCACGATATTTCAACCGCTTTGATTGGCTTAATTGAATCGGACGAAGCTTCCTTCTGATTGGTCAGAAAATTAGCAACCGTTCGGCAATGCGTAAGAAGCCTTACGGCGCATGACGAATGCTTGCGTTTGCGCCTGGGAGAGGAGGGATCAGTACAAAATTTGACCGAGTCGTTGTGATTTTTAAGACAGTATCCACCGCATTTTGTGTTTTATGGAGTGCACACACCTGGGACAAGCCGTGAAAGTCGGTTCGCAGCTTATCGAGAAGATACGGCATGAAAAAGCCACACAATGGACTTGTTCAAGTACGCTTTGAAATAAGAGGGGCGATAAGCGACCCTTTCCCCTTATTTTGGTCTTTTGGTTTTTGTCCACTGCCGGTATTTTATTACATGCGACAAATCCTGTTTCATTCTCTCTCATTTAGCTTGTAGATCAACGAAAAGTCCGTGGATCTGTCTACGTTGTGGTGTTATAAATTGTGGAAGGTAATACATACCGAAATCAGTGTCACCATTTCTGTTCGGGGTGTTGAGATGGAGGAATGCCGCGTTGCTTGGTTCTCGTGTGAATTTTAAGCTAACTATTTTTTTAAGTCACTTGCCGTTGTTTAGTAGTGAATTTGCAAACTTTGCGTTCCAGGTATGTGAATGGACATGCCAAGACACATTATGAGGAAAATCGGCAGCACTCGGTCTGTTTAGATGCAAGTTTGACAGCCTTTTGGTGAGTCTATACTGATCACCAAAAGCTTTTAGGATATTTATAGCTTCCGTTTACTTTTTGTATTATATATATCTGGAATATTTTGTTACTTTTCCACAGCTATGCTTGTGACGAGTTTGTTATCAACGATACCAGATCAGGGGATATTCAGAGAGTACGAGAAATCATGCTGGAACGGGAAAATAGGTGAGATAACTTGGGACTTCACGGCTGAAAATTACCGCTGAAATTGGGCCTTTGCAACCGACAGCTACGTCACCATTGTTTTGCATTCCAATTATTTTTACCAATTGTAAGTGTTTATTGTGAATGTCAATTTCCCCCACAAAAAAATTATTTGTTGTACAGTGGGTTTGTTTGATGTAAGAACGAGTCAGGTTTGTGTAGAGTGGTTTTGTTTATTTCTTGCCATCCGCCATTTTGTTTTATTCCCAAGAATCATAGCGACGCACGTGTTCTTTTCATTTCGTCATGTTTTGAGTGACTGCTCTTTTTTTAGGCAGTTAATCATTAGTTTCAGTCAGCCTTTTCATAGGGAAAACAACCTTTGTTATGAGTATCAACAAACATACATTGGAATTTAATTATCATTTGCTTCAGAATCCCATGAAAATCTAAGATGCAGCGGAGGGGGGATGGGGGGTTACATAGTTGGGTTAATTTTTGCTGGGTATGTGCCGCTGGCCTCTCAGAACACCTACCCCATTACAGGCTATACTGTGGCCAAATATGTGACTCCATCTTAGCCACTTTTGAGAAGATGTCATTTTCGTGATCCCAACTTAAAGACAATTTTCTGTTTTCACATCTACCTTAAAAAGCCTTTTAACTACAGTCAAACCTCCCTTAAGTGACCACAGAAAATGAAAAGGCTTGGTGGTTGCTTACAAGAGTTAGACTGCAAGGACGAAATTTTTAAGTCAACCTAGAATGGAGTTGCATACTTATTCTAAAAAAATTAATGAAAGTTTACTTCCCGCAGCCAATAACTGGAAGTTTTAGTGACAAAATCGTTAGTTATTGTACGTGACAGTTCATTTACAGAAGTGCACTTATAATATTAGATAACGCGTGTGACGTGCATGACTTCTTGTACAGCAATGTCCCTAAAACGTCTGAAGAACAAAAACTTAACTTCTTAAACTGAAACCTAAAAATCTGAGTCCTTTTTTCAAGGGTAATGGTTAATATTGTAGTTATAGATCGAACAAATAAACACAGTAATAGATGTATAGACAATAACAACAGCCAAAGAATAAATTCATTTTTGTCCATTTTTACAATCTACTTTACTGTTTAGCAAGACCATGTGTCAGGTGGTCATTTACCGGAGGTTTGAAAACAATATAAAATTCTGTCCACTGAAAAAGTGGTCACAGTCGCTTGCAGGAGGTGGTTGTTTATGAGAGGTTCCAGTATAAGGCTTTGACTGAGAACCTTTTGGGTGTTTTGGAAAGGTGGTCGCTTATGGGAGGTGTTTGCCTTTCGGGATGTGGTCGCACATAGAGGGTCAACTCTAGGTCATCCTGAAATGAATTGACACATTGGTTAAACTTAATTTAGTGCAAATCTTCCTATTTTTAAACCCCCACCTAGCGTAATTTTCTGATCCCTCAAATACCAAATACTGAAAATGTGAGATCCCATTCAAGTAACTCATGAAAATGTAACTGTAACCCCATTATAGTCAATCCTGCCTAGAAAATGTGACCCCATCCATTAGCCTACTACTAGGAAATACCACCCCCCCCCCCCCCCCCCCCCCACAACGTCACCCCCCCCGAGTGGGGGCCAAAATAATATAAAGGTTGTGGTCTCACAAAAGAGAAGCATCGTAAGTACTAAATTTTTTGTTTTTTTTAAATCACTATACTCAAATAAGGAAAAATAAATCATAAAAAACAATGACAAAATAACTTTGTCATTTTTAAACCCCCACTGGCGGTAATTTTTGAGTCCCAAAAAAGCAAAATACGAAAAATTTGAGATCCAATTAAAGTACTCCAAAAAAATGTAACTGTACCCCCATTAATTCAAATCCCCCCTAAAAAAGGGCCCCCCCCCCCTTTGCCAACCCCTAGAAAATCCCCCCCCCCCCCCCCCGCCGCCCTATAGCTAGCCCCCCAGGATCTGGGGCAAAATTGTATTAAAGGTGTTGCATCCAATGAATGATGAGTGCTGAATATTAGAATTTTTTTGTCTTTATAAACTATCCATACCTAAGAGCTGATAGCAATAAGTAAAACCAACTCTATACAAAGACAATGACTTGGCTGAAGTCTTTGTTCAGTATTGGTCACTATGGAAAAAAGTACCAGAGTGAAAAGTGCCTGCATAAACAGGGGGAGCACTACTCACAACATTTTGTATAGAGAGGTGTGGCCAAGAGGTTCAACCCCTTACCCTTTTTTGTACCATTCTGATGGTACCCCTTTAGTATACCTCCTATTGAAAAGTGGTGCTCCTTTTACGTACCTACTTAACCTAACAGCAGGGTTGTCAAAAGTAGCCGGCTGCTGGTGAAAATCACTGTCTACTTGGTTAGAATCGGCTGGCTACTCTGCTTGGCATTTCTTTATGGATGGCGTTTTTTAAATAAAATATCCCTGGACTGGTCACTTACTTTGACAACTCAGCCGTCTACTTCAAAACTTTCTGACAACCCCGTAACAGTCAGTGTAAAACACAGACTGTGGACTATTGTTTCTACCTTGCAAATGAGAACATGACAACAATAGTCCCATTGTTTTCTAACCCTAAAAACAACAGTCCTCAGTCTGCATTTTACGCTGTCCCAGAACCTAATAAATTGCTAAAATAAAAAAGTAACCTAACTGTAGTAATCACCCCTACCAGTGTAAATTTAACCAATTTGGAAAGTTCTTTGATCTGAAAGATAGCAGACCTCATATAATAGCTACATGTATCTTTAAGCAGACTTTTGGTTCTGTCCCTTTGGTGTCCTTACAGTTCACTCTCAGATGTACCTTGTTACATTACTCTGAATACTCACTAACACATAATATCTGTCTGTGAAAATTTTGTTTTTGGCAAAACAGATGTTGTTTGCAATTGCAGGAAACGTCGTTTACGAGATACAAGTTCTCCAGAGTCGCAAAAGAAAACTTCAAAAGCAGATGTGAGTTTGATAGTAATAATATTGTGCATGGTCCGTTTCCTCTTTATGTATCAAACACGTACTTGTGTGCATCTTCTCCAGTATCACAGTCATATTCGTTACTTGAAGTGAAATTGTAACAATTTCTCATATTATTTTAACATGATTTTCAGCAAGAGAATATCGGGAGGGTGAAGTATTTGCCTGGTCTTCGTAACCTTGGAAACACATGCTTTATGAATGCAGTCTTACAGTCTTTGAGGTAAGGTGTGTTGGCATTTTGTTCTGGAGTGGTCCAATATGTACCTGATTGAAAAAATGTTGTCGCTTAAAAAGTATAAATTAACCATGAATGATGAGGCTTCAAGCAGTTATGGGTATATGTTCATTAGCAAAGGAAATTCAAAGTTCTTTCACACAAACAAGTTTACATTGTCACAAGCTGCTTGTGCAAATACAAATCCTTAGAGTACTTTGTTTAAGGCTTGTGGTTGTCTTTTTGTCTCCCAAGAAAGCTTAAAGTGTGTCTTTGCTATATTGTTGTTTAACTGTAGAGATCTCTGATATGCCTTGCACAGGTAAAGGTGGGAATGTACCACCAAGAAAACTGGAAACTTTTTAACCTTTTTTGGAATGAATCATCATGAAAAGTTTCGATAATGTAAACTTTTCTGGAAAGAACTTTTAAGCAACGTTTTTTGATTAGGTGTATACACAGTCCTGTTTTGTGGCTACCTCATTTAACCCATTCACACGTGAACTGTACATTGCCACCCGTGTGGAACCACCTCCCTTGTACTGTTGTATAGTCACAGACAACTTTGCAGAGGGCGTTAATGAGATACTTCAAACCATGAAAGAAATAAAAAATGAGCACAGTCATGTAAACCATGTAAAGTTGACCTGTCCAGAAAATTCTGATGAAAATCCTGTTCCACTACCCGTGGCCACCTGTACTTTCTTAAAAATAATCTTGCGAAACTTGGGTAAAAAAAAATACAGGTGAAGAAAAGAAAAAGAAGCAGGAATGAGAGATAGTTTAAAGGTGAAAGTCAAGGGGCAGTAACACTTAAAAAAAACCATAATAATCTCAACATTTTGCCATGTATGCATGCCAAACTTTGGAAGCTGTAATTAAGTATCATAAACAGAAGCCCCCTTTATACTGCAATTTTGGTTCTTGGCTTTTTTTCCTTGCAAAGGGAGAATGGACTAAAATGAACATAATGTACAAAACAATAATTGATCTCTCTCCAATGTCTTTGAAAAATTCACTTGAATTGTCTTTCTGACTTCCCAACTTGAGCCAGACAAAAAGCTTGCACTTTCCAATGAATATTAAACATTGCATTCTTGATTAACAGTAATATCCAGTCATTTAGCTGCTACTTCAAGGATCTCCCAGCATTTGAGCTGCACCCAGATAATTCATGTGGAAAACAGCCATATTTCACAAGAAGCAGGAAAACAGATGAAGTGTAAGAAATAGCTTAGAGCATTTTCTTTGTCTTCTATTAATTTATATCAAGTCAAATTACACAATGATAGTTATTCTCTAGTAATAGTTCATTGCAGTCCTTCTAGCAGCATGTTGACTGAATAACAGGGTTGGGTTGAAACAATTTTTATTATTTTCCTCCTTTTTGGTCATACATGTAATAACTGAGTAACAGGTACATACTGTAGCAACTCTGATTGCAGCCATCTGTCTGTTGTGGTCAGGCAGCTGCAATCAGAGCAAAATTGTGACAGATTGCCTTTACTGACTCATTTTCATAAAAAGTGTATTTAGGCAAAAGTTGTGGGAATTTTAAAACTGATTTCTGTGGCAACCATGTTTATGTTCCCCACAGATCCATTGTGGAAGAGTTGCGTAAAGTGTTATGTGCTCTCTGGCATGGCAGAGGGGTGACCCACTCTCCTGATGCACTCTTTTCAGTTGTATGGAAAGTAGTTCCTAGATTCAGGTATGTTCAAGCAGCTTGAGCTATAAGCCTTTAAATCATAGCTATAACAAAATTTTCTAATGTAATTGCCTATCAGCTTCCCTCAGCATTAATAGGACAGTAAGAGCCATGTCTAAGTAGTTTGACAGTACCGCCATTGCACACTCAGATGAATGATTTTTTTTGCTTCTATGAAAAAATTCTTGGAATATGTGTTTTAATTTTAAAAATGAAAAAATTTAAAACACCACAAATTTTGTAAAAGTTGTGATTAATTGGTAACACAACAGTGAATCGTCCAATTGAGTCTACCAGTGATTTTGTTACCTCTGATGCATGAAAATCCCCAAAGAAGCACAAGAGTTTATGGCAAGCGTCCTGTGGAACACAAAGATCGATTGATCGATCGATCTGAAGATGTTTTTGTAGAATATCCTGTTTGTGTGATTTCGGTGGCTGTTCTTGTGGCTGTTGTTTAATGAGGCATATTTCCTTTAGTCTTCGTTGTGCTTTACAAAACTGGGACTCATGATTTGTTTAATACAAGATGAGTCCTAGGACTCACCTTAACTATTTGTAACAAAATCACTGGTCTATTTAACAAATAAATGTCATGCATCTGTTCAGTAATAGATCACAGATTATGTCAAAAAGTGGTAAGAACAAAGAAGTGGCACATGAGCCTCAGTGTGTGACTGATGTTTTTACCACCTTTTGATGTCTTAACAAACTTGCCTGGTACTGCTCGACTGTGAGTGCACTTGCTCAAAGAAGAAAAATCATGAAAACATTTTCAAAACTGCTAGTCTCTTGTAGCGATGACACAATAATAAAACAATAAAACATGATGTAACTTTTGTGAAGATTTCTTCCAGTTTAGACATTTTCAAGTCATCAAGAAAGCTTTTTATCTTGGTTCCTCCATTCTTATTCTTTGTAAATAGCTCCTGCTAAACTTTTTTTGAGGCCTTCACTTACTTAATCCAAAATATTCTAGCAAAGAATTTCAAAACTGCTTGCCACATTGGACAAACAAGTTTCCCATGACATCATCCATGGTTTTGTACTCTAACAAATCATGGGCAATGACTAATCAAAGCACGCGTGATATTCACCACATAATTATATGAAATCACATACTCGTGATCAGACAAATTGAATGACCGCATTTTTGTCAATCCCACTGAATTGGACTCCACTCAGTCCCATTACCCAGATTTATAAACTTAAGTTGATTTACTGGTACTGATTCATGAAACTGGAGCAGTTTTTAAATGGTTGTATAGTTGACTCTCTCTTAATGGACACATCTATAAGGCAGACACCTCTAGAGAGTTGGTCCCTGCCTTTCTTTACTCCCTTTATTTGACTCTCTATAAGACAGATATCTCTTTAAGACAGACACTTACTGCCAGTCCCAAAGGTGTCCGTCTTAGAGGGACGTGACTGTATCTGTTCAACCTTTTTACTACAGAGGCTATCAGCAGCAAGATGCCCATGAATTCATGCACTATCTCTTGGATAGAGTACACACAGAACTTCTTCTTTCTCCCAAATGTTATGGTTCTACTGAGACCATTATAACAGGCATATTTGGTGGGATCCTACTCAGTGAGGTATGCAAGGTGTAAAATTATTTTGTCCAATACCATTTTCTAGTAACCAACAGAGCCCTCAACTGGACATGTCCTACTTTTGTTTTTCCTTATTGCACCATCTGTTTTGAAGGCATGTAAGGAAGAGTGTACTTTGAAGCATGATATTTAAAAGGACATAGTAATTTTTATTATTGTGCTTCACTTTTTGCTGGGACCATAGATGAACCTCTTGGTTTAATAAATTAATTATTAATTTAATTAATTAACTTTTTGTGGTACAGTTTCCAATGAAGCTGTTAAGATACATTTAAGAGCTAGGTTTTTACATTGTTATGTGTAGTCTCATCTAAACCCCGATGCCTGCAAATTTACCCTATGTAGATGAGGACATTTTACTGTTTTTTCTTGTCTTTTCCATGATCCCACACTTTCTGTTACACTTGACAACAAGTTTCCTTTGACAAGCAAAAACTTAATCATCTCAATAGGCCTTATATCAAGAAATGGAACAAACTATTCACCTCATTCCCTGTTTTCAGTGGCTTCAAATTTCAAAAACGTTTCTTGGTAATCAAAAAATTGCTGGAAAAGTATCAAACACTGATAGTGCATGGTGTATGTCTTTTTGTTCATTGATTTTCTTTGCAGGTTAAGTGCTTAGTCTGTGGAACTGAGTCCAAAAAATATGACCCATTTCTAGGTAAGTTGCACATAATACATGCATCTGAAATCTTGTTACAATACCTGTATAATTTTGGTTAGCACTATCTACAGAATAATTGATCTGATCAACTCAAGAACTGGAATTAAAGCTTTTTTTAATTTGGTGGTGGTGTTATCAGGGCTGTCATTATTAAGAAGCAGTGCTGGGGATTTCCCCTGGCTAGTCTAAACATGGCCCGTGGCTACTTTCAGAGGAAAATAGAAGAAAAATACAACCCAAAGAAACCCCCTAGCTGTTTGATTCCCTGCCTACTTGTTGTATTTACCTGGCAACTTGAAATCTTAGTGACAACCCTGGTGTTATCCACAGATCTGTCACTGGAGATTCCTGCAGAATTCCAGTACAGAAAATCCAAGTCAAGAGACCCACAGGTGTGCCATCTTCAGGGTAAGTCTTTCATTACTCATTTCCCTCCTAGACAAGGTTATACCAGGATGATTAGTTTTTGTCAACCTTTCCAAATGTCAATTTGACATCTGAATTTTTTTGGGTGGAAGGGGTGAAGTGGGCAGACACTTTAACTGATAATTAACTTGGCCTCTGTCCAGAGAGAAAGGGTTCATTGTTTTAATTTGTTAAGGCCCTTATACCAAGATTTAGCCTATTTTTTCAATTTTTTCAATTTTCTTTTCCATTATTTGGCTTTTTTTCTAGAAACCAATACATAACTTGTTGGTACACATGAAGTTAGCTTAATTGGAGCTTTGATTTTGTATTTCTGTCTGAAAAATGTTGAGTTTATTGCATCAAATCCTCTTCATGGCACAGACACGTACTCATTGTCATGTTATAAAAGGTCAACAAATGATAATATTATTGTAAGCTATAAACTATTTTCTGTGATGTTATCCTTGTGACTACTTTTGTTCAATGAGGACTGATTTCAATGTGTGTGGTAATCAGTACACTGTTCAGGATTTTACATATATTACACACCTCAAATTTTGAAACAACTTTTGGCTAAGAATAATTGAGTATTATTCATGTACATGGGTAAGTTAATACAGTTAGTGCTATGTTGTTTATTTCAGATTGCCTGGATCATTTTGTATCACTAGAGGAACTAGCAGAATCTGAACTGTATATTTGTCCAAACTGTAAGAAAAGACAAAAGTCTACCAAGAAGTTCTGGCTGAAAAGACTACCAAATGTGAGAAAACAAATTTAACTTTATCTTTTTTCCTAAGCAGTTTGGTGTTTTCGAACAGATCAGTGATTAAATGATATAAAAATACAGCCAAACAAGAGGTACTACGATTATCAGTTGAGTTGAGTGCCATACTTAACTGATAATCATAGTAAAGGAGATAATTATATATATATATATATATATATATATTAACCATGATAAGTGATGTTTTGTTAGTGTTAACGATGATTACCAAAAAAACAATCTGGTGTATAAATATTATGGCAAGTGAAATTGGTGAAACAGCATTTTGCACTAACATTACACCAGAACCCCACTAACTGAACAGGAAGAAATTCTGTTGTTACCATGTGCTTACCATGGATGGCAGACCACATATCGCTTGCACGTGCATTAATTACTGCCAGAATGAATAGTTTCGTGACGACTACAAAATTTCACGAAATGATCATGTAACGATCACTGCTTCCATTTATTTCTTGTCTTGTTGCGTTCAAATCTGTCCAAAGTGGAAAAAATGCTGTAGTAATAATATGTGCTATCTGCAAAAAAACGTTTTAAATCAAAGGTTAGCAAACAAACTTGTCCAGTACACAGCTTTCTACCAGACATGAAGAAATGCTTTGGGTCAAACGTGGTGGTGAACTGTGACAGAGTATGCATAAAAAGACTGGAGAAACTTTTGAAGATGTAAGTGCCTGAGTGGGATCATCATCCTGCAGGAACACTCTTAACAGAATCCACAAGGAACTGGAAAAAGACTTAAAGGAGCTGTGTCACGAAATTCAGCCAAATTAGGAGATTACAAAATGCCGGTTAAACTAAGAGAAACATTAAAATAACTGCTTAAACTTTAAAGGAAGGTTAAAATAACATATAACAGAAACAATGGATGCCATGGATGGACAAAACTGAAAAAGATTGAAACGGATTAAAATTAGGGTTTTTGAAAACTGTTCAGCCTAACAGTTTTTCAAAGTTGATCCTTCTACTTGCAACTTCAAAAATAATGTTCAGGAGACATATTTGTTTGTCTCGGATCTCTGATTTTGTCATTTACATGTAATTTCTTTGCTTACTTTAAGTTCCATAGCGATTGAGGGCGATTAATTGGCAAAATTAAACAAAATGAACTGGACTGCCATGACACAGCCCCTTTAATGATCTCGTCATTAAACCAATTGCTCAGAAATCTCAAATTGCACTTGTTATAGATGATTATACCGCTTTCCACAATATTAGAGGACCCACTACTAGTCAATCTTGCAATCCCAAATCAATGTGTACTATTCTTGTTAAGTTTTTTGGAACATCCCTGCAATACCAACCAGTCCTGCAACTATCTATTACTCTCTCAAAGGTTTGCACTTCCTTCTTTCTCAACCTGGTGACTGGTCTCCACAATATTATTCTACTCCAGATAAGTCATCTATACAACCGTACAAAAGTACTTCAAATATACTGAAGCATCATCTCCACCACAATCCCATCAGAGTCCTTTTCAACAGCACCGGCAGACCGCAGCTACACAATGTCTTATCAGTCTAGACCTGAAAAAGAGAGAGCAATAATTGGTTATTGATCAGCCTGCCATTCTTTCTTTACTGCCATGTATTGGACCTCTCCACATTTCACTCAATGACCGGGAAACACTATTTGATGAATTTAGAGACCTTTTTGAACTTATCTACACTAAACTGTTTCCAAAGAGCAAACTTGCTAAGAATCCCAAGCCTTGGCGTATAAGCCTACTTTTGAAAGTTGCCTATGGGGGATGGCTCTACATCAGAGAATCTGTTAAAGAGAAATTCATTGCCTGTAAAGATATAAAGTATCAAACCCTTCCAAATCTTTTGGATAATTCCTTGCCTCTGGTTCGTTCTATATACAGTGTGGCTTTCAAGCTCAATAACTACTCTAAGTGTTAGAATCTGGACCACGTTCTTGTGCCTCTAAAGACACCACTATTATAAAGCCCTTTTGGTGTGGCTATCAATGTGTGCATACTGGGGCATCAATAACCCAACTCTCTTTGAGATGTTAAGAGCTTACCTGGTTATTTTTGACAAATACCCTGTAGAAAATGCCCACAGTATTATTCGTTCAAAAACTGACCCTCATAACTCAGTCGAGTCATTGATATAAAACGTCAAGGCTGCTTTAGAATCAAATCACACCACTCAACTAAAATTTCAAGAACTCACCTTTCAGCTTGTGTAAGGGCAAGAATGTTCCTTAGGCTTTATAGCTTGAGAGAAAACAACTGCCTTTTTGATCTCAGCAGCCGCCATAGTGTCTAAAAATTCTTCCTTTTCGAAGTTCTTTGACATCATTTAAGCCTCAAATCAGTAAGTTTACTAACCATGTGCTTGAAAAAAATATAATGAACTACCCTCAAATGAAGTGATATAGCTCAGAAGTTGGATTGAAGAGGTTAAACTAGAGCCATGAAAATGTAAACATTCATAGATTACAATGTGACCTCCATCTTGTTGTCATCTTGCTAAAAATGGTCGCAACTGTGCATGTGCCACAGAATTTCCTCCTGCCCACTAATTTTTTTTTTCTTTATTGACAACAAATCAACAACATTAATACACAGCAGAAAGTAAAAGAACAAATAAGTAAATAAATATGTTAGTAAGTAACAAAACAAATTACAATAAAAATGAAAAGTATTGAAAAAAAAAAAAAACCTGTCAGTTACCACACATATTTAATATTGTTTGCCACAATTTTCAATGCGATATTGTTCAAAAAGCTTACGTAAAAATTCCTTCTAAATTAGGTTTCGTTACAATATTCTTGCAAGTATACAAGTATTTCTTTTGTAGTAAAACCAATAGACAAAGTTTGCGTTGAGTTGAAACTGGCATTTGCATTGCCCACTAATTGTAATTAACAGACTCTAAGGAATACCATAAATCAAGCCTTAATTAGCAGGTTAACCCTAACATCTTGTTTAATATGCTTTTGTGCAGAAGAATTAATAATTAATTGAAGAGGTTTGAAGAGCGGGCTCAAAAATGAGGTCTTATGTATCTCATTAGTTCATGTTGTTAAGCTTGAGGGGTTTTTGCACTAAGCCCTGTGGTTTCAGAAACCTTTTTGTTGCACCTGACTTCTGATGGGAAATGATATTGTTTTGTTATATGGTCATTGACATGAAGAAGCCAATAAATTATACATTTCGCTAGGGAAAAATGCAACCTTTAGTGACTTGCAGTTTTTCCCAATAAGGTTTCTCCATTCTGTCGCAGAAGTACAGTGTATGACGAAGACCTGCTCCAAAACTCATTGTTATGTGTATATTTTGAGGTGTGATTGTCTTTCCTTTGTGTAGGTTTTGTGTCTGCATCTAAAGCGCTTTAAGTTCCAAGCGTTTCACCGCAGTAAAGTTGATACATATGTTGAGTTTCCTGTCCATGGACTAGACATGAGTCCTTACTGTATACAATCTCAGGTAAAGAACACTTAAATGTATCTTTTCAGTTGAGTTACTATTCATCAGAGTACTGTTCACTTTTCTTATATATCTCCTGGGCTCAGTACCCGAAGGCGCAATTAGTTCTAATGCAGGATTAAAATTTTACTTCCAAGATTGCCTTTACCTTGCGAAAGATTGGTTACAGAATCAGTAAAGTGGTGTTATAACTCGATCTCAGAAAAATAGCTTACAATATTTTATTAGCACCAGTTGCATGGAAACTTTACTTAAAATTAGCTTAACTTTGGGTTAAACTTAACCATCTTTCAAGGAACTGGGTTCAGGACAGTTTGTTTGTTCATAGTATAAGTTTTGGCAGACTTTGGATTATTTTTCCTTCATTTCTATTATTGAGGACAGAATGAAAATTCAAACAAATTTTCAAGTCCGATCTTTATGTCAAAACAAAAAATTGCGGCCCAAGAGGTTTCATTTAATAGTGTCACCATGAAATTTCATCCATATTTTCAAAGTGAGAATTATAAGATGTTCCTTCTCCATAATATTGACTGTGTAACACAGTTAAGACCACAAATGTTTTTGGAATCTCATTTTGTGCAGTGAAAGAATCCTTGGAATCAGGTGTGAAATTTGTTTATGATAATTTGTGTGTTCTGATCTGTGTTGTAGTTGGACACAAAACAATGAACTTTCCTGAAATATTTCCAGTGTTCACAATCTCCTTCTTTTGACAGTAATTGGGTATCTTTTGGTACGGTCTCTGGTGAAGAAAGTTTACGTTTTATTTTTTATAATCATCAACATTATCATTATTATTATTATTTATTATTATTGTTATTATTATTATTAGGATGAAAACCCAAAGGCATTTTTATTTGATCTGGCGGCTGTTGTCGTTCATCATGGAAGTGGGTAAGTGTTTTTCGTGTAAAGATAAATTTTTTTCAGATATTTCTTTGTATGTATTTACTTTTTTGCTGATTACCTTGTTGATTAATACCTTTGATTCTTTTTAAGAATTGGCAAGAAACATGCTAATGCTGTAAATAAAACTTATTCGCACCCATGACTGAGCACGTAAACAGGAAGCTTAGAGATACCCAGCAAAAGGAAAATTAAAGGAGGCAGTGACAGAGGTGGACAGAAGAGAAAAAAATAGGCTTTTATTATCCTAGCATTTTTTTTCAAGTGTTTTAATGAGGCAAAAGCATTAAGCATTGTTCGAACTGTTTAGTGGCATTTTCACGGATTTTTTTTTTCAGACATGATAAAAATGAAAAAAAAATCAAGAGAACAATTAATGAAATACAAGCCATTTAGAGAAAAATCTGCTGCTGTATTGAATCTCATAACTTGTGTACGTTGTTGACATTTACCTTACCGTTAGACGATTTTGTTAACGTTTAAACTCTGTTAAAATGTTTTCAGCAGAAGTAATAATAAAGCCTCTGTAAGAAAAGCATGATCCAAGCATTTTAGTGAGTTTTTGTGGGACAAGGAGCATTGAGTGGGATAAATGGCACACTATCGTGGGGAAACAAAGCGATTATGTACAAAAGCCTATTCAAGTGCATACAATTTTGCGCTCAGAAAATTGTAATTTTTCCACGTGGAAAATTTTGTTTTTGTTTTTGCTTTTTTTCGCAAGATAATGACCAGAAAAGATCTTGACTAGTTTCAAAGAGTGTTTCTCAGTAAAATCTCCAGTGTGGATGGGTTAATCCTGGAATAGTTAAGGTTCACTTTACTACATTCATGTAATTGTTTTTAATTTTTTTGTAATTTTATTAATAGTAATAACAATTATTGTTTTGATTTACAGGGTGAGTGCTGGTCACTACACAACATTTGCTTTTCATGATGGTGAGTACAGTCGACTCCCGATAATTCGAACCTTCAAGGGAAACAAAAAAAGTTCCAGTTATCGAGGGTAAAATTATATAGAAAATGTTCTGAGGGGAAATAAAAATTGCTTCAAGTTAGCGGGAGGTTGGAGTTATAGATGGTTCTAGTTACTGGAACAACACTGTTTGATATTCCTAGACATTTTGTAAGGAATGGTACAAGCAATCAGTTTGAAGATACTCATTTAGTCGAATAAGCACCGCAGCGCTTAATAAATTTTTCACGCCTCAAATGCGGCGCTTATTTGAGGGCGGCGTTTATTTGAAAATGGGACGCGACAAAGAATTGTATTAACTGCGACATTATTATTTCCGTATTGAACTAACAGAACGGACGTCTTTTGATTTGAATGATATCAGGGCCACGGTAGACTGCGAGCAGTCTTCTCCCTTTTTCGTCAGATTTAGTGCGGCGAGTGCACGCGCGCCGCGAGACGCAAGAAATGAGAGTGGCAGCCTGCCCGTCTCGTGCCTACAGTCACGCGCGTGTTCATTTTCATGTCACGCGCATCTCGCTCGACGGAATAAGAAAAAAGAGAGACTGGTCATAGTCTTGGGCTGTGGCGCCTAGTACCTTTTTTTTCTCTCAAATGTGGCGCTTAATCGGGGACGGTGCTTATTCGAGTAAATACGGAACTTTTTTCCTTGTTTATTTTGTTCTCAGGTCTTTGGTACAATTTCAATGACAGTTCAGTGACACAGTCAGACGAGGATCATGTTAGTCGCAGCAAGGGATACATTTTCTTCTACACTCGCCGGCATCCCAACATGGCCATCCTTGACAAGATTAGAAAATAAATTCTCATTCTCATAAAAACAGTTACTCAAAATAATTTTAATTAAATTTATGATATTACTTATCCTAACCCCTTGAAAGTAGTACAGCTTACTTGATACTTGAGCAAAAAATTTAATTTGAATGGGAGTTGTTTAATTTTTAAGAATGGTGTCAAGAATTTTACTGTTCATAATTTGACTTGCTGTAGTTGTTCAACATTAGCAGCACGGCCTATCCAAGATTTATGTCAATCAAGCCTTTACTTGTACACCGCAAATTTAAAGGGGTAATTTGAAACCAGTCAGAGGCAAATGTATCCATATGGGTTGATTTAAAGGCATTTATTGGAACCCAAATAGCAAAGGTTTAGGATTGTTTATACACAGACAGCATATTTGTATTCTTGGTTGCAAACTGCAACTTAGGGAAGTGGTCAAGACAACAATGCAGTGGATGTAATGAGGACCCACCTTGACTAGGGATAGTGGGGCTGTACAGGGCACCACCCATCTGATGAGTCTGATAGTACACATGAAGCTTGCCTCCTCAGACAAACCGCACTGGGGCATTGAAATGTTATACTTCAGGCTCCGGTTGTTCAAACGTTGGATAACGCTATCCGCCGGATTAATCGCTATACAGTTGATAAGTATTGGGGAAATCAATTGCGTTATCCACTGGACAGTGATTTATCCAGTTGATAGCGTTATCCACCTTTTGAACAACTGGGCCCAGTCTGCTAACATTAAGCTATGCAAATGAGAAACCATCTTTTTATGGCAGAGAAGGGGGTACCTATGGACACTACTAGCCTTGCCGTTAGGAGTGGTGTTCCGAGCTTTGCACTATAGTTTTGGCCATTTCCCTCATTCACAGTTAATGCCAATACTGGGGAAACGCACTTGAAAAGTCCCCTCCCACAATATTCATCTCCAAGAAAGTAATTTTGTTTCGAGGGGCTGGTGGCAAAAGAGACCCCAGTAGTTATTGTTAGGCCTATTGCTCCCCTGGGATCTTTGATTCACATAAGATTTTCGCTCGGGTTACGACTTGGTAGAAAATTTAATGGGAAAATGTTCAGTGTTATACAATCGCCTCCTGACAGGTGACTCATCGTACAGGGTGCAGAGCAGCGGTGGAAGTTCTCTTGCTCATCACTCTTTTGGTTAGCCTGCGAGCAGGCTTACTTGTGCGACTTTGTGGAAAATTTTGGCGGAGCGACCCGTAAAGCCGGCATGAAGAATGGGGAGAGAAAAAGTACCCTCGCGCTGTCGGCTCCGCTGTTAAAGTTTTCCCCGAACTAGTACAAGAAAGGTTAGGGTTAGTGAGCCTGCTGGCAGGCTATTTTCTGGTCTGCTGGACTAAATCCAAAGGAAATTGCGGGACAACTTCAGGCCTGAATGTAAAATTAATTTGACTGAAATCTTGGATTTTTCCTTTAAGTCTAGTTTTCTTTAATATTACTGAATGCCTTTCGTGCTTTGTCACCTTACTTCGGATTATGAGAAAAAAAAGTTCCATTGGGACTGATGATATTTTATTTTTATTATTTTTTTTTTTTTGTATTTTGGTTGTTTAATATCTCTATAAAAGTCTGTTCTCTGATTGTTTGCCTTGCCTGGACTCATCATGCAAGTCAACTGCAAGTATTGCGCATGTTACAGTTTGATTGTAAGCAGGTTACAATTTCAGTGCATGCAATATTGATAGTCCTTACAAAATGTAGTCATATCTGTTGTATTCTCTTCAGTTAACTTCTTCATCGTTCTCCTGACAAGTATTTTGTGCCGAATAACTAGTTTGAAACTGTTCTTTTAAAGCCCTTAAAGGGACATTTGTGTCACGTTGCTAGCTCTATTGTACATAGTCAAATTAAACTTGTATGGTTGCTGTAAAAATGGTAGGTAAAACGTGAAGTCGTCATTGTCTCTGTAAATAAGAATAAAATGCACTTTTTGGATGGATCGTGTGAAGATTTTGACTTCGTAGCACTTAACAATTGTTGGACGAGTTTGAACAAAATATCGTGATTTGCCAGTGGCTAAACTTTCTCAAAGTCCTTCGCTTCTCATTTCCGGTTCCGGTAGTTGGCCCCACCTCCCGACAACACACGCGACAGGGACGCAAATAGTTCGCGCCAAGATGATGTCACTTGATGCGATTTTTTGCAGGGGAAACAAGTCGAGCTCTCGCTCTTTCGTTCGCTTTTGCCACAGAAAACATAAAAAATCTACCGCTCGCGCTTCGGGCTCGTGAAAAAATTTGAGCTCGACTTGTAGGCAAGTCTAGCCAGTGGCGAGCAGATCAATTATTTGCCGAGGCAAATAATTGATCTACGAGACACTCAAATCACAGTTTTTTACGATAACCGAACTCAATACCGTAAATCCTCTATTAAGCCCCCCCTTCTCTAATGAGCCCGGCTCGGCTGATCACACTTACCTCAACATTGATTATTCTTGTAATTGTGTCAATAACAAAATGCTTGAATCCGATTTGTTCTTAACAGTCTATATTTATAATGGTAATAGAACTGAGTGGAGTCCAATTCGGTCTTTAATCATACAAGTGATTAACAAAATCGGACGAGCGCGAAGCGGGAGTTTAATTAGTTTAATCACGAGTATCGTTACAGACCGAATTAGACGACACGAAGTCCTGTTACCAATTAATCATAACTGTTACAATTTCCCAGAAAGTAAATGCATTATTTTTAGTGAAAGAGCTTTTAATAGCTAATGTCCAAACTTAGGGAAATTAATATCACCGGCGGAGACACTGTCTAATGTTACAAATTCCTCCATTTTGGAAAATCCCCAGTTTGCTAGGGTAAGTGGTTGTTGCTATGGTTATTGTGATAACGTTTGTGATTGGTGGAATTAGCTGAGTGCACTTAATGTGATTAGCTAATGTAACTGTCCGATTACAACCCTGTACACGATAATTAGAGGAAAATACAGCAGTTAAAGCACCAATCAAATTTGAGGAAATTGTAATGGTTAAGATTAAAAGCTTTATTGAGCTACTGTAGCTCCAAAACTATCCGATTACCAGGAGCTTGTAATCGGACGGATAAAGAACCAATGAAAATCAAGTAGCAAATGCCACTACCCAATGAAATTTAACTGTATAGCACATGATAACCAATCAAAATCAACGAAAAAATAGTGACTAAGTAAGCTGTCCAGCTTCACCTGAAAAAAAATGGATGAAACCAGGAGGAAACTAACTGGTCCAGTGACTTTAATTTACATTAATAAATATTCCAAGAGTGAGATTCTCGCACAACTAGGGCACTACTTTGATGATTATTCGGGATTAATCTCGTCCCTTCGCTGTACGAAAGGATCGCGGCCTATGAGAGCGAGATTGATTCCGGATATCACAAAATCATCATCCAATAATTGTCCAATATTACAAAAAAAGTAAAATGTAATAATTGTTTTATTACACAATTGAACCTCCATTAATCGGCCGCCTATTGAGCGGCTAGTAATCGAAGTCTCGGAAGAAATGTACCATAGAATTGTACGTTGGACCTTTTAAATTGAGCGATCACCTCGTCACCTTTTGGCCATCCCGATGAGACTTTTCCCATTGTTGTTACCTCTATTTAGCGGTCATCAAGCGCTTGATAGACCTTGTTTGGTTTTATTGTAAAATGATAAAGAAAAATTCAGTCCAAAAGAGAAGGTAAAGACTGTTTTTGGACTGTGTTTGTATCAAAATATTTTCATATTCCTGCTAAAAATTATACTAATTTATGCTGAACCTCTATTGAGCGACCAAACTCCATTAAGAAGCCATTTGCCGGTACCTTGAGTGTGGCCGCTTAATGGAGGTTTAACTGCACATTGCTGCGACGGCAGCAAAAACGTCACCTTTAAAATGTCTAGCGAAGGCAAATTTCCCTGGAGTTGATTTCTTGGGAACCGCACTCAAGTTCAGAAACAGAAAGAAAATTTCGTCGTAGCTTGTTTACGTCCTCCATAAAACGTGAAATTAGGCATTTTTACGTCGTAGTCGTGCAGTAACGGCAAAGAAATGTACAGAAAGCGTGATGCACGTGCAAACGTGTTGTTTTGCTCCATAAACCTATCGCTTTTTTGACGTTCTCGTTACCGTCGCCGCTGCTAAAACTCCCTATTTTTGAGGGACGCACGTCAACCGGAAGTGGACTTTTTGTCATATTTGGCAGTGGTTTCGCCTAAAATTTTAGGCAAGTCGACTCTGTAAGAGCAAAGACACTAAGCATCACGAATTTGGCAGCGTCAAGATATATTTATATAAGGGGTAACATCTCACTTCCAGGTAACATACGTCATGCACGGGACTTAGTCACTTGCTGCCAAACAAAGTTTGCCCTGACCGGTGAAACGCGCAACATGTACAGAACTTGTTGCAAAAAGAACGAATTCTCTCTACTTTCAGCAACAACTTTTTCGCAACATGTAATAACTTAATATTGTTGCAAAACAGGTTTGATTCATGGGTGGTAAAACGCTCAACATCGCTTTTCAACTCGTTTTGTAGCAATGTTGCAAGACAAGTTGCATGTTTTTATTGCTCGTTTTTCCGTACCTAAAAAGAAATAGTCCGCCATTTTTCCAGCTGCTTCAGAAAGAGCTGCATGAGCTACCGCCCAGCCTATGGAAATGACTAAAAGTGGTCTATTATGAGAACTTCAACTAAATCAGCCAAAACCGGTTTCAGTTGAAACGGTTGATTCCAAAACGTCACTAACCTAAGAAAACAGCCCACATTTCGCGACGCCACCACTAGTTTTCCAGCAAAATGACGTCTGAGAAACGACCTGTCAGATCGGGGTAGTGCTTCGGATTGGCTGAAAATTTGCCTCGACCAATCAAAAGCACTATACCCAGATCTGGGTGGTGACGCGTCATCAGTATGGAATTTCTGCACTCGTTTCTCAGACGTCATTTCGCGGGAAACCAGTGGTTGCGGCGCGCGTGAAGTGTCGGCTGTTTTCTCAGGCTAAACAGAACACGACTGAACAGTC